TGAAATAACGAAAGTTTACCGGATCACTTCCGGTCATTCACACAAATTTTTTCCCGAGTGAACAAATTGAAGAACTCTTATAAAAAAAAAAAAAAAAAAAAAAAAAAACAATTATAATAAAATTAAAAAACAGTAATAATAAACGAAAAGAGAAATATTGAAAAATGAGTACATTTTATGATTAATTAAATATCATTATAATATAATATAATAAGAATAATTATTGTGTGCTGGGGTAGGTATGTACAAAAGACTTAAAAGGTAATAAAGGTATATAATAATTATTATTAGCCATGTTCTCGCCCCTTTCCCCTGGTAATTATGTCTATAATTATTACTTTTTGTATTATATTTAAAAATGCATTAATTTTATTTTGTTTTGTTTTGTTTTTTTTTTTTTATCCGATTCGATAAATTTTTATTTTCCCAGAGGCTTTGTAAAAATATCGCGCAGTAAAAAGATTACGTGCTTTAATTATACAAGTATGCTATCTAGGTTATAATACAGTAAGTTTTTGTTTAAAATTTTATGGTAATATAATACGTAGAGGAGTGAACACGGAATCGTTTAATATTTAACGTCTTATTTATAAGACACCTATATAAAGTATTAAGGTTAAGTATCTAATTTAAAAAAAAAAAAAAAAATTAAACTAAATTTCCTCGAACAAAATAATAAAATTCCCTAGTTGTGCCTGTAATATAAGCCTAAGCAAATACGTGTTACTACTTTAATATATAGAATGGTTCGTTTATACAATAAAGAAACGAACGACATTATCAATAAACGAAGATTTTGAATAAATTTGTAGACCTTGGTCTACTTTTTTTCACACTTATTATTACGGAATCATTTAATGTCGGTGTTCTCGTTTGTCCTTATTCTGCATATAAAACCTATCTTATAACCATAAATAATACCTGTTTAGGTCTGTACAATATAAGATGATTATATAAAAACCGACTAGATAGCTGACTGTATGATTCGACTCGCATTTAGGAAGCTAACAGCCATCATAATAATTACTAAGAGGGCGAATTGAATTGATTAGCCCATAAAATAGTACTTGTTTATACTGTGGATTATGCGATAATATAGAAACAATAATTTACAATCGATTTCAAATGATTTTTGTACTACCAACATAGAATAAAGAATAGATAGGCCACGCGCGTACCTACACGGCTATACTGTAATAACGTACGCACCTGCGGCGTTCCAGAATAGGAAAGATTGATAGATTGAAGATTGTTCTCTTTTTGAAATTACGTTAAAATATTTTTTATTATTTTTTAAACTAAATGTAAGTCGTAAAAAAAAAAAAATGAACTTTATAAATTTCTATTCATTATTAATTTATTATTTGCCTAAGCAAATTATGGCATTAACACATATTAGTTCATGGGCTAATCAATCAAATTTGCCCCTCGGTATAAAGCTGAAAATTTACTCAGTTGAGTATCCGCTATCTAATCGTTTTACAATATCATCTCTGGTAAGGTTAGGTACTTGGAACGATATCAATCTAAAATCAACTGCGCATGCCGGATTAGGTTAGATTAGGTTAAGCCACTGGGTTTCAAAAATTATAATCAATAATTCCACATTGATATTAAAATCATGACAAATAAAATTCATTATTATCTAGATAGGTATTTAAAACGACCCATTAAAAACAAATTATCAGAATCTAAATTTTAAAAACGAGCTGATACTGCTGATTGGTGTACCACTGATGTACGTAGAAAGTTGAGAATAGAGGATACATAAAGTTATTTAATTTATACATATAGGCAACGATAAACCATTGCTAATGAAAAATGATTCAGAGGAAACTTCAGTAGTACATGTTTTGAAAAGCCGTAATATGACGATTTTCGACGAAATTTGATATTAAAGTATTAAAAAAATTCAAGAATACTACACTATACTCAACTTGTTACTGATAAATGCAATTTAAAACGAATGTCCAGTAAAACTGTCTAGCATTTCTTTTTGGTCAACCAATTTTATCTACAGGGTACCTACCAAATAAAAATTACTTATAAAACTCGAAATATTAAAATGTCTATAAATAGCTCGAAAACGGACAAATGTTTTAAAAACTGTACCTAGTCTATAAGAGTAAATATTATAAGATTTTTGTCCAGATTTCAAGCCCTACAAATATTTTAACAGAATGAAATTTAAAAAGAATGAAATTGAATATAAAATTTAGACGGGATTTATAGAAAAGGGGAATTTTTAGATGATAATCCTAATTAAATACGGCTCCTGCCACTCCGGCATAAATCCCGTTATAACTCTTATAACTCGTAAACGGCAAATCCGACAACTGGTCTGAAAATAAATTCGGGGAATAATTTGACGTTTGAAAATTACAATTCGATATATTATTATATTTGTGACGTACGGGACAAGGGCGAATGTATTGCGAATGCGATATTTCTAACGGTTCTGTACATAATATGTTAAAGAATTATAACAATATTCATTGAAGAAATAAAACCGAAACCAATTTTACGCGAAATCTTTGTTGGTATAGTCTCTAGATAGCGTTAAACGAAATTCACCCCGTATAATACATTCGATTTCGATCGCAAGACGATGTTAAAATACAATTAATAATTTATTATTCGATACGAGGGAGTAGTTTTATCGTGCGCAGTGCTTTTGCAGTTGTAAAATCCAATAAAAAATATCCGGTGTAATTATTAACAATTATTATTATACTCGAATACGATAATGTAACCGCATCAGCAGTTAAGTATAACTGGTATACTAATAATTATTATTAATAAGCGACGGTTTTTAAAATGTTAAGTCACTGCGACGACAGTTTCTGCGACGATAACGTTTTTTTGTAATTTTTTTTTCCCCCTATATTGAATTGGAATATTTTAATATAAAATAATAATTATTATCATTAATAATTTTTTTTTTTTATTTTCGAAGAAGTGAGTACTTTCTGAAAATAATATTATTATACTGCAAAAATACATTATTATTAATTATTGTATTTTTGTTAAACGCAACGAGGTGAATAATATTGTACCCTATATATATACTTCAAGTAGTTATATTCGCATTTTAATATATTATAATGCAATATATAAACCTTTAGATTAAATTTAATAATGAAATAATTAATAATTATGCAAACAACTCGTTGAACGTTTTGAACGTTTAATGAAAAATAATTACACGTGGTGTCCCACGAAGGTACATCCATTGTAATATCTCGGGAGATAATAAAGATAATCGAATTGTGTTTTAGATTCGGAGTGTAACGATAGATTTTTATTGGTTTTATCATCATGTGTGTTTTATTTTAATTTCGTTTTTTGTGTCTGTGAGGAAGTTTTCTACCGGAAATCTTGTTCTGAATATGCATCATGTGTAGCACCTTTTCTAAAATCTAATTTTTTCTAATTATTGAATTGTTAATTGTTAATTTTTCAAAATAATTGAGAAAATCGGGAAATACAATTGTAGGTTAGATGGTAAACTTTTACTGCATGCCACGGCGTTACCGATTTCACTGTTTCATTGTTATCCTTTTTTTTTTCTTGTTCATTACCTATTGGGATAAGTTCTACAAATATTTTATACTTCAATTAATTTTTTGTGGTTTAGTGAAAAATTTAAAAACATTATTTTATTTTATTATTTTTGAAAAATTTGAACATAGCCATTTTATAAAGTTTATTCGCTAGAATTTTTGACGTATCGACTTTTATTTTCATGATTTTCGTGATTTTTAAATATTATATAAAGTTCAAAGAAAAAAAGTGTACAGTTAATTAGCCATTATAATAGTAATTAATTAGCGAATACAATTATATCCTGCTGCATAATTATAGGTACATTTCTCTGAACTTTAAAAATAGGTAGTAGGTTAATTTTTACGAAAAGTTTAAACGAATATAAAACCAAAATTATGATAACTATAGTCCAAATATTTTTATAGTGACATGAAAACAACTTATGGTGACTTTTTTTTTTATCAAATTTCTTAGTATTTTTTTGTGTGTCCAGGTAGTTCATCTACAAAATACCAACAAAAACTGAAAAACTAAAAAATGTCAAATAACATTGTGCTATTTATAAGGGCTAATATTAAGTAAACATTTTAGGGCCTCTACGATTTTTCCTTATGAATATATATATATTTATATGATATAAAAAATTAAATATAATAACAATACCGTTATTATTACCGTTTTCCCGATTATTGAGAAAAATAAAAGTAATTATAATAAATAGCCTTCTCAATTATCCAGATATATAAATTGTCTACCATTAAACACTCTTTAAATTGGTATAAGAACAAAATTCCCGACAGAAAAAAAAATTGATCTTATACTTACGCTTTTACAAAAAACTACTTCATTGCCCAAAAATATTTTATTTTTGTTTTACCACTTAGTGCAATTCATATTAAACCTCGGGTTAAAATTTCAAGTATTTATGTTTAACATAATAATTTTATTCAATACAATNACTAAAAAATGTCAAATAACATTGTGCTATTTATAAGGGCTAATATTAAGTAAACATTTTAGGGCCAATCATAGTGAAAACATTTGTTTTTTCACAATATACTGAAATTATTTCTGTGCAGCGTTTTACATTTTGTACCGTATACTTTTGGATCTAATATACATTATTTTACGCTTTGCTGACAAAATTGAATTTTTATTCTTAAAAAAAAAAAATGTCTATGTTACCATGTGTTAAGAAATTATGACGTTTCCTTAAAAACGTAGCACGCGGGTCATCTCTCGACTCATCTAAATACTGATTATAGAAAAACCAATAATAAAATATCGCTTGCTACGCTCAAAAATTAATACAAAAAACAAGAACAAAAAATGTATTCTCTCAAGACGATAGACTACGAACTATTTTTTTTTTTCAAATTGTGTAATTAATTCAATTATTATGCCTGTATTATGAATACTCCGCGATAGTAATATTATTTAACATAAATTACATACAAAATTCTATCTGATATTCAACGTTTCGCGGCACTCAGTTTAAATCATTTTATTATTTACACTGCTGTTATATTACATTTTTTTAATACGCCGAAGTTTTTTTTTTTAATTTCCGAGTGGTTAACCTAATTAGTCGGCAGGAGGGGAAATTGTTTCCGCAATAGATGTACTTAGTGTGATTTTTAATTTTGAAACGGTTTTCGTTCTTTTTTCATCAGGCGGGCAGGTATACAAGAAGATGTAATTATGGTGCACGTATGATTATGATATACTTGTATTATTATATCGATGATTTTTTTAAGCGTGAGAATAGTATTTCGTTTGTTTAATCAGTGTTGCGTACTGTACCTATGTAAATAAATTATAAACTAATTTTGTATTGTAATTTAACGTCTTTTTAAACGGAACATGAGATTAATTTTAATCGAATCACAGCAAAATAAAAAACACAATGGAAAATAATGAAACCGTTAATTACGAAAACATACGTTTTTCCAATTGTTACAACGGCCGTACGCACTACGCACTGATGAGACAAAGAAAAGATGTTAAATTTGGAATTCAGAGCAAGATTTTTGGTAGAAAAACTCAATTTAAAAAATGTAAAATACAATATAATGAAACTGTTTAATCAAACAATTAGGAAAATCTAAAAATTGACGTTTCAATACGCCGACTAAGTTTAAAATTCGGCAAAAAAGCTCTCTTATTTGGAGTAAGGTTTCCGGTAGATTCTGTAACAAAATGGCATAAACAGTTTGAAATTTTGAATATTTCGCAGCTCCGCGTCGTTACATACGGTTTTTGATCGCATGTATTTTCTATTATTTTGAAGTAACGTACTTGCAGCTAAATATTACTGTAGTAAGAAATATGAATAAATCACGAACGCGTTTTTACGATCGTTTACTAACATTTTGTATTTTTTTTTTTTTTTTAACGGATTGTCCGCGGTTATTAATAGTACCAGCCGCAGGGTTCAGAGTAAATATTATATTTATTACCAACAATATTATGATGAAATTCGACGTCGATAATTCAAATTTCGTTTTTAAACGAACCGGGGGATTACGGGGATTACAGGGGAAAATATATTCTATAATAATATTATACCGAGTGAAAAATATCATATTATACGATTGTATGCGTATTATGCGTGGGTGCAGCGGCTAAGTATAGGTATATTACAATATTCGGGGTAGGTATGTAAAAGTATATGCTGCTCAGTGTAGAAATCTCACTGGAGAAATACGCAATCTATATAGACTCTATATAATATCATTTTATTAGAGATAGTTCAAATATTTACCATCTTTACCGGTAAAGACTTAATCGGTATCTATCAGATGATTCCGGAGCAAAACATGTTCTATTTTTATTGTCTAGATGAATTATTTCACTTGTCTGCGTTTCGGCAACGCTGTTGCTGCGTTATGACTGTTCGCGAACGAAGAAAATGATTTTAATATTATTGTTAATATTCCCCAGGACTGAGAAACCGTCCGATTCGTTTTATTATTTTTTTTACTACACTAAAATCACCGTCTCCACCGTCGCTGTCGCCGCCTTCGCCGGTATTACGATATACTCTGGGGGAAAAAAAAAACAAAACGATATCGCGGCATCCGCGCACACGAATTAACTACGTAGGGGACTGAAAACGAAAACCCGCCGCCGCCGACTAAGTCTCGTCCGTTTTCGCTCTACGTATGGAATACATACTGTTTATAATAATATACAACATAATAATAATAATAATAATAATAATAATAATAATATTCTATACAATTATATACCGACCGAAAGGCGCCGAATGAAACGTTTATTTGGTTTACATTTTACCGTAAAAACTATAATACTGCAGATATGGCTGACTTCGGTTTTTTTCCCCGGTAATCTCGTCGTACCTATTTAAAGAGAGGGGGGAAGAATTCGAAAAACCAAAACGGGCACTCGGGGTATTCGGCGAAAAATCGCGATGGCTTTCACCGTGATGACCGCTCCTTACGGTCGTTACTCGATGTATTCTATCAGTATTATTATTATTATTATTATTATTATTATTATTATTATAATTACAAGTATTATTACTAAACATCACGCAATACGTACCCGGTGATGATGGGTACAGACGAAAAAAAAAACGAAATACACGGTACCGTCGGTTTTTATATTTTGTTTGCGTCCCGGTGTTTCGACGCGACGATCGCGAGTATAAAACCAAAAAGAAAAATAACAAACGATTGCGGCGTGACCGACCGGTAGATAACGACGGTAACGACTGTGACTTGTACCGCGGCGTGTTTGGGAGCGCGAAAATTCCACGTCCACCGGTGCCGCCAAATCGGAGGCGCCGGCGCCGCGCGGTCTGCTCTCTCCAGCAAACTCACGCCCCGCGCCACCGCGTCTGCACCGACCACGATACCGGTCGAGTATATTATATTGCTGGCGAAGTAGAGGCCGGTTCTGCCGAGACCGGTACAGTGCCGTGTCTGTAGGGATTTTAAACGCCAGCGGATGTGCCAAATTGTCATTCGTAAATGAATCGTAGAATTATTTTCTTCTTTGGCCGGCGCGGCAATTGGAATTTAAGGACCGAATCCAAAATATCCAATTTTCAACCGACAAATCAACCTGCACGAATTCCTTGAAATTCGACCGAAATATTAATATATTCATTTGACGATTAAATTACCAAATAAGTGATCATAGTTGTTGCGTTCAAAAGCCAATTTCGGGGGATATGACCCCTATAACCCTGCGCACGTCACTGGACCGGTGTGACGGCGAAAATTGTGTTATTTGACTCCTTTCCCTTCTCCGGAAAATTATCGAGGGTTTAAATTTTCACTAGTGAATCAACAATTACGGGGATCAATACAATCAACGGCACACCAGTGTAGTTAAGTTCTACCAAAACTATTATACTTGGCCGATGCATATATTTTATTCCATAGATATTAATGACACGGATAAGCCACACGTTTATATGATTAGTTCAATGTAGGCCGCGGTCCAAGTGTGGGCGAGCGTTGGGAGCACGCGTAACATAGCATAAGGGACGTAATGAAGGTTTATTTTATTATCATTGTTCTTAGTAGTGTGCATGCCGATGTTTATGACCGCAAATATACCTATGCAATTTTACTTAGTAATGAAAAATGTTAGGAGATTATTTTGTCAAACATTAAAATGTAGACCAGAATGTTTCTTTGGTCTGGACGCACAAGTTTTTCCACATTGTTGGCAGATTTGTTGATAACATATACCCAGATATTTTTGACAACAAAATGAAGCTAATCGAGGGTTATTCACGACAAAAACTCGCGATTGGAATTAGCCAAAGGTCCGCTAGGACAAAGCTATATTCAGGAAAAATATTGGCTGTTTGAAAAATTTCACATTTGGATTTATAATGATTGGGAGAATTTCGGAATAAATGAGAGTATAAAACATTAGGTTATGAAAAAAATTGGTACAATTGAAGGGGTTCGCTGGCCAATAGTTACAACCAATCAGGGCTTGCTATTAAAGGTTCTAGTCTGTGACAATTCACGTGGTATTCTTATGCATGCGACTGGGTCTCTTTAATTTTTGTGTGAAGGCATTTTCGTTGTTTTACGTTCAGATGATATGGATACGGTCAAGGATACCGGAACCAAATAACGGTCGCCGCGTCCACTGCAACAGGTGAGAGGTGCGCTTAAAACTGCATTCATCGTGATATTATTATCACACGCCAACATATATACGAAATTGGATTTCATACCACGATGTATATAGTACGGTATGTGTATAACAGGGAGTGATGATGTGAGGGATAGATCTCCTCCAATATTTTTTTCTTCTTACAAATAACTAAAAATTTATTTTTGTTACATTTACAGGTTCCTGTACTTAAAATTATTTAACTTAAAATTGATATCCCATACCTGGAACAAATGCCTTAGTTTGACACTGCCTCGTACGACCGACTGCAGAATACGTTTTTTGAACGACACAGTGAAATTCGACTGTTTATAGATAATTGGTACTAAGTCAATTTGTTATTATTACACGATAAGAAATGTGCCTTAGAAAAACGTGTAAATGAAATTCTCGAATAAGAAAACAACATATATTTGGATTACCAACTCTCCCAATACTGTCACTACTGTACCCAGTGGTATATTGCCAACCTTTTTTTTTTTTTTTTGCCAGGTTGAGGCATTTACACTATTAGACGGCCAAGTCCACCAAAATCATTCTAAGCAGCGAGTCCTAATATAATAAATTATAGAGACTAATATTATAGAAATCGTGTGCTTCTAGGAGGTGGAAATCCCCGTAATAGGAAGTGAAACCTTCTCTGTAAATACGCCACTGCTAAAACCTAACTACAATGGAAATTATGAATAATAAATAAAATAATATGTAGTTTTCTTTCGAAAAAAAAACTGTAAAATAATTCAAATGTCATAGAATATAATAATATTATTAATAATTTTTATTAGTCACGCATTTTAATAATATTGTTTTTTTTTTTTTAATACATTTTAGAACCAGTAGGGCTTTTTTCCACATTAGTTTTTTCAACCTCTCTGATTCCGTTTAAGTTTAATCGATATTATATAATATTATATAAGTAGGTGCGTTGATTTAATTTTCTCGTATACGAAAGGCTGAAAGGTTTTATTTTCTTTCAAATAGCTATCTACGTGTTTTTCGTCCAAAGCGTTTCGAGAAGCTCTCCGGCGTCGGAGAATTTCACTCTTTGAAAAGAGGAAAAACAAAACGATATTGGGTATGCGTCCCCGTTCGAAATTCTTATCGTTTCTTTTATCCAACGGCCGGTTCGACCGCAATATATTATAGTATTAGATTTAATTTTCTCGTGCGGGGATATTTTTTTTATACACCTACGTTTCTCAAACAAAATACTACTGCAGTATATACTGTAGTGTACTGTCTAGTAGCAATGTGTTTTTATTTTGTGGTGTTCAGGGGGAATTTATACCGCCTGGGAAAACAAATCTTACGAATTTTTCAGAATAAACTATACGTTTTAGGTTTCTCAAAATTAGTTTATTGGGTTTCTAAACATACATACGTTGTTTTTTTTTATTTTAGTATAAAGTTGGCTCCGTATGTCCGCAAAAGTGCATATGGTTACGGTTGTTGATTTGGTTGAAAACGATATTTTATAGATTATTCACACAATTATTATTATTGTTAATTCCATTATTCGCTTAATTATGAATGTTAAATATAAACCCCTATACTAGCCTATAAAAATAGATTCCCAAAATATAATTAGTTTAGGAATTTAAAAAATGCTGTATTTTGAATGTCATAGTAATTACCTGATGGGGCGTCGGCTAATTACAAATTCAGATATTTGATTTATTTAGGTTTCTACACATACGCATAACGCATACTATACGTCTACACTGAATTAGCACATTCTTTCGGAATTGTTAATATGCAATTGTAGTTTATTGTTTATAATACGATTAGAAACTGGGAACTTTGCACACTCGCAAAGTGGGCATTCCTAATTCGTTTAAACATAAGTTAAGATAGGTAACTTATGACCTCGCCGTTTGTTGGTAGTTACTTCGTATGGTTACGGATGTTGATTTGATTAACAAGGATATAGATATTATTCGCATTACTATAAAAAGATTATTATTATTATTATTATTAGTTAGAATAGGTATAGTAAATTAATAATTATTATTAATTGCTTTAAGAGTGCAGCGAGATGAATGACCAACAATCGGGGTCTTCGTAATATGTGCTGCCTGCCCGGTACTTTTTAATTTAAATATTTTGAGTATTTAATCTAAATACATACGAGGCAAATTTAAAAAATAAACGGACATACTTCGCACATTGGGTGGGACACTGTTGTAGGTGAGAAGTTGGGAATGTAGAGGAGAAATTTAATGTATATCTATACGAACGAATTATTATTTATTGCTAACAAAAAACAATTCTGAATGGAGTTCGGTTTTACATGTTTCAAACGGCAGTTATATTTTTACTATTTTGAAATAATGCGTTTCTTACATTTTCCCGTTTTCCCTATTTATTATGAAAACTCTTAAAAATCAAAATAACGCTTTTTAAGTACCACCCCAGTCAAATTTCGGAAAAAGTGCTACATTTTAAAATCGGAGCAAAATTACAGATAGACAATTTGCCACAGAAAAAAAAAATAAACATCACTATAAAACCAATACATTCCTCACTCCGCTCAAAATCTAAAATTAAGTGGTGTATAATATCATCCACATCACATACATATATAGTTTATTCACTTATTATAATCGTATTTTTCATGAAATGGATATCCATTTCAAAAATTACGATCATATCGTGTTCGTCAAATTTAAGTTCATGAAATGGACACATATTTTATCCATTTCATGAAGTGGGAACTCTTATTTTACACATTGTATTTAAAATATTTTTTTAAAAAATTAAAAAACTGTTTTAAGTGGGAAATTAGGAAGTTTGTACAGATAAATTAATTTAATTTATATCGAAAAACGATTTTGAACGACGTTTGGTTTTACATTATTTAAAAAGCCGTAATATTTAAGATTTTCTTCAAAATTCTAGTTTCCGATATTGAACGGAAATATTTTTGTATAAATATTAATAATTTTTTTTTTTTTCATTCAAATGATTTGTAGAAATGAGTAAGTACTTAATAAAAATACAATATTATTATTATACTGCTAATTAATTTAATTATGCAATTTGCATTATTATTAATTATTGTATTATTGTCAAACCCAACGAAGTGAATAATTTAGTGTACGCAAGTTCCAGTTATATGCCTACTTCACGTAGTTATATTATTCACATTTAAATTTATTATAATATAACGTATAAACTTTGAGACTAAATATAATATCACAATTATTAATTAGTGCAAATAACTCGTACAACGTATTGAATATTTAATAAAACATAATTATATTAGTTTTCAAAAAAAAGAGCCGATACTGCAGATGAGTGTGCCACTGTTGCAAGTTGAATGTTGAAAAGGCAAGATAAATAAAGTTACTGAGTATGCATGCCTAGAATTTCATATAAGTACTTCAAGGATTTAAAAAAAAAATTCCTCAATCATTTATAAATTAAAATATTTATGATTTTACGTTTAAGCAATAAACATAGGTTAGGTTAGGTTGCAACATTCTTTTAAAATTTTATATGATCATTTTAAAATATGCATTTAGAAACCGGGCATTTAGCATGCTCGCGGAGTGTGCTTTCTTAACTCGTTTTATTTAAATATAAAAATAATAATTTTGTTAAGTTATTATTATAATACTTTTGTATTATAATAATAATAATATAACTATGATAACTCTTATTATTATCGTCACGAAATACATTTTTCGGTTTTAGTAATTTTAGTTTTAAACTATAACGTAACAAATTCGCAACCTATTCCATAAAACCGTCTTCTCATCTAAGGTTCGTATACGTTTACTTAAATACGGATATTTCGTATAAGTATAATACGTTTCCTTTTTATTTCCCCCTATAAGAGACAAACTACTTAAGAGGCCAAGAGTTTGAATGTAAATTGACTGCCGCAGCCGTGTAACAGGGCCTAGGTAGATACAATAATAGCATTCTCTATTAGTTAAAAATATATTAAACCTGTTTATGAGTTTTCTTACCCCGTCATGAAATATCGTCATTGCGGGTCGTCGTCTCGAACGTTAAGAGTTTTCACGGTTAAAATGTTCTCGCGTATTATAGAAAACTTTTTCACAATATAACGCTTGACGTTATTATTTTTTACAACGTTATTCTCCCTAATAGCTGTCAACTGTAATAATAAATAATACCTATACGTTCGAAGTATTATTATTATTATTGTACACTTCGATGAGTTCGTTGTAAAACAAAATTAAAATATATTCATGATGAAATTCGTTCGAGCAATATTCGACGAAAAAACAATTCCTCAAGTACACACAAAACTTAATACCACTGCGGGTGACGTTCTTTAGATAATAAACAAAATAAATACAGATCACAATTTGTACTTATCTATCAGCTGTAAAAGCCTAGTTACGAATAAACTTTAGGCCTTTTTGTCATCCAAACTCATAGTTTGGATATTAATGATAATTTATAATATTTACATACTATTCTAAAAATTTCATTTTCTGTCAATCAATGCGATTATATTGTGTGATTTACTATAGTGACCATGGACGTATAATGGAATATTCTACTTCATTGTAACTTCGGTAGTCGTAAAACGATTAAATATTTCGGTTAATCAATAGCTTATTGAGCTATTATATTTGACTGATCATAACGCTGACATTTTTGGTGTTGGTTTTCCAAAAAATGCATAATTTATTTTTTAAACATTAAATGAAAACGTTTCAAAGTATTAATATACATAAAATAATATTTATTCTCTACTATATAGTTTTAAGAATTTTAATATGTATTTTTTTTTAAAAATTCGTAGTATATTTCTATATGATGCCGTGGAGATTCGACTTGTACACTGATGGTGCACAATCACACATATCTATGTAACAATAGTGTTATAGTAACTGCGACGATAACATTGAGAAAAAACACCCACAACTAAAATAATAAAAATACGGACATACTTCGCACGTGGATGTGCCACTGTTGTAGCTGAGAAGTTAGGAAAGTAGGAAAAAGACGGCAATTAAATGTATATCTGTAAGCAACGATTAACCGTTGTGAACGAAAAACCGATTCTGAGCGAAGTAAAATTGCTGGTAGAAAAGTAGTCCAAAGAAAAAAAAATAAAAATCTTTGTAAAATCAATACGTTTCTCGCTGTGTTTAGAATATAAATTAGGTACACAAAATAATAATCCGGGAAAATAAAATTCACATTTTCCAAGCTTGTTATTGTATACTTACGAGTTATAATATTATCTTTTGTTCTACACAATTGAAATTAAATAACATTATTGGACGTTTGGAAAATTGTCTACAATATTAGCACGCCGAAATATAAAATACCGTAATATGCGGATCATCACGATTGGAAAATTGTGTGTCAAAGCCACTGTTCATTACCGTTAACCATTTTTTTCCCCCCGTCAATCAGATAAAACGATTTTTTTTCACGGAGTAAACTTTCATTAAATTTACAAAATATATAGTCTTTATAAAATAATAATGCGCGTTATACGTCTTACAGAAACTACCTGTAAAACGCAGTATTTATACTCGAAGAAATATTATTGCATTCGACCTGTTTATTTCGTATAATGACATCACACAATTATCACGATAATTTTACCTACATCCCGCCGAGTAATTTTTATATTATCCGTTAGTCTTCGGTTGAATTGAATAACGGGTGTATTTTTATTGTAATCAGCGGCGCAATCGGTGGTCATTTTCTGCAATGTGGACAGGGGTGGAGGGAGGGTAATGAAGTTATGCATTTCTAACACATTTTCGGACAAGTTATTGGGATAGTAAATTATTAAATACGCGTACCTATATAAAATTACGTGAAAAGGTCTGTGTAATTGCAATTCAAATTATGCAACTATGCACCGTTATGCGCAGTGTATCCGGATCTTGAACTCTGGGGGCTTTGGTGCTAAACATAACTTTTGGGTCCCCTCGGGAATAAATTCCACCCGTGTTTATTTATTTTTAATAAAAATCAATGTTGTCGACTCTACGTATTACATCAAAAGTAGTATAACATTTGGTGTTGACATGTCGGCGTCACAATACGTGTCGTGACAATAATATTTGTATACAAATAGACCACACGGGAAATAACTTTTACAACGCACAATAAACTATTTTTAGCCGTTACAAAGCCGATATTATTATCGTTTATCATTTCGAGGGAAAAATAATTCAAAACAATTTCAAACCGAAATCCAATAAAACTACAGTAAAACTCGCTTAAGACGCTCCACAAGGGACCAGCTCAAAAGAACGTCTTAATCGGGAAAACGTTTTATGCTAGAGTCGAAAATAATAACCGTTAAAATATCTAGTTTATTTATTAACATTATTCAATATTAAACATAATCAAACTGACAATAAGTTTATACACAAATACGTATTATTGTTATCGTTATTACTATGTGCGCAATAATACTCATTTAACAAATTAATATCTGTCGATTAACTTCCCTAGGAAAGAAAGAGTTTACTTTTGCTCGTTTCAGATTCTGAGTGCGAGTTGAAGAAAAGAAATTTTCGACGCTGCACACACTTCAACATATTTCTTTGAAATGTTTAGCTTGTCTGAAATTGATAGCGCTTTACGGCTTATTCCACTAGAATCCACCATAACGAAATCACTATCGACATGAAATTATAAATACGAACTTTCCTATGAACGGCACTACACTAAACCATAACACTCGTTATTTCATCATACGATAAATAAGTATACGAAAACGAGTTATACTGTCGCCCATTTTCTATATTATACATGTTCACCATCAACTGATGATCAAAAGAGGGACTTATCCGATTATATACAGAAAACCCGAGCGCCTAATAAGCTGGTTTTTACATTGATATATATATATATACATACATAGGAAATGTTTAAGGACCCGTGAAAAACATCGTCTTATGCGGGAAAACGAGTTGTACTATATTTGAAAAGAAAATATCAATCCATACATGTTACTATTTTAGTTTATTATTTATTTTAGGCCCACAAATATTTTGGAGTGCGGGGTCCTAGTGCAGGTCCTTAGTTCTAATATGCATTAGCATATTCCGAGTATAGACCCAACCGTTACTAACGACCGATTGATTATACACGTCAGAAATCGCCAAATTGGAAAAAAATTGTTTATGTAAACAAATATAATTACGATTAAAAATAAGCCAAGTTCAAACGGGTTTACTTATCATATCCATACATAAAATAATATGAACCAAAAACAAATAATTTATAATGTATAGTTGGCAGTTAATTAAATTTGTATTATTATTGTAATTGGTCATTACATTATATTGTACATTACCGTAGCCATTTTTTTTTTTTCAGAGGGAGCACTTATCATTTTTGTATAAGTTATCATATTTTTTTGAACGATATATACGTCGAAATAACCAATAAACAAAAAAAAGGAGCTATATTTTTGCTATCGGGTAGTCTTTTCTTTTAGTTTTAGATTCTGAGCGGGTCAAGGAACGTAATTATTTTTTTTTTTTTTTAAAGTTTCGAATCTCTCGTCGTTTTAATTCATCCTAAAATTTAGTTAAGCAGCTGTACAATACTTTTACAAATCATCTAAAAATATTAGGTACCCGTAATGAATTCTGTTTTCGACCATGAAGTTATAGAAATACATTCTTCCGGGAAAAAAAAATAAAACAAAAAATACCTACCTGCCTATTCAGAGTAGATATTATGATAGTGTTAGGGTATACCTATATTTTTTAAAATATTATTGATTTGTATTATGATTATAATAATAATACATTCTGACGAACTAAATAATATTGATAAAATAAAAAAAAAACCATCTATATTACACGTATTGTATATATAAATAAATTGTATAATAATAATAATAATAATAAAAGAACAATAATACTGTACATTGAAATATCTATAGCTATAATATATTAAAAATTGTGAATGTACATTAATTTTTTTTTTTTTTGTAACATATTCAATCGATAGTAATATATACACGTATAAGTAATGAGTAGGTATAATAATAGGTACATTATATTATAACAAATTGTATGACACGATATTCACTATTCAATCAGATGAGTGAGATTTTTTTTATGTTTAACAAAATTATATCGCACGTGTGTGTTTTACGATTATAGCGCAAACTGAATTCTATATAAAAAAAAAAAAAATGCTTAAATTTATTAATCCCGTTTAAAAAAATCTGAGCCGAAGAAAAAAGTCAATGAATTTAAACTTTGAACAATACGGAAAAACGTAAACCAACTAGTCCGAAAAATTACTAGACTGAGATGAACACGGCTATGAGTTAAATATTTTAGATTCTGAGTAGAGCGAAGAAGCTTATAGTTTTACAAAGATATTCATTTTTTTTTTCATTGTTTTTATTATCTGTTCGCAACTTGACATACTTGACATGATCAAAATGTATATTTACCTGCATGTTAGTATAAGCTGTTTAGAAAAGAGTATTTCATATTGCATGACGAAGAGACAACCGCGGTGGAATATCGAAGGGCGTGGTGAACGACGAAGAAGTGAACTTTAGAACAGGGTGAGATGGAGGGAAGTGTGTTATCGCGGCAATGAACCTAAACGTCCTCTAAGTAACCGTGAGCCCGGTCGACGTGGTAATATATCGACTGATAATATATCAGAACAATTGTATAGAAGACGTGATAGTAGAGTTAATTTCTATAGGATCTACTGTGAAAGCGCTACACGACAGTAATATTGACCTATAGTAATTGCAGTATAAGTGTTGATGTGGCGATGGTGGTTACTGGTACTAGTTATCACTCGCAAAATTAACAACTATCATGCGATCATCATGATAGCTTGATAGTTGTTGTTTGTACTACATGGTTCAATAGTTACTATCACTCTTTATACATGACGGATTAGTTTTCTATAGTATATTATAACTATCACGGTCGTGAATCTCGCAACTTTCATGGTATATCAACTTTCATCGTATGGACCAGTCTTATTTACATACCTCCAAAGATACGGTGTTCAAACATAATATTTAAACACATTTTACAATTCGTATACGAATACGAAATGTAGTTTATTAATTTATGTTCGTGTAGATCATTGGGGAGGGGAAACACCTCTCTGAAATCAATAAACTATAGTTATTCGGAGATATGCAAAATGTAATTAAGCAGCCGTGCTGCCGTTGTTTTTATTCTGCTAACCGAGTCGTGTGCGCATCATATAAAACTACAGTAAGTTCAGTGCTTTTTCTTGTTTCCGTACAACGAAAGATGTTACCAAGTTTCACTATAAAAACAATAATAGTACCAGCTCCTATATTTTCATATTTTATTTTAAACATACCGAACGCGTTCGTTAAAAGTGGTGTTTTAGATTTACTCATTAAATTATATCATGTCGTTTCTTAATAATTATTTACGTGCTTATTCTGGAAATATATAGCACACATTTAAATAGTATTTTCGTCTAGAGTGTAATTCTAACGCGTGTCTGCCGCAGTATTTATAGCATAGCGGGGCGTAAGTTTTAATAATGTTTTCAATAAAATTATATACCAACTATTACGGCAAATTAAAAAACACCCACTAATTTAGTCAATTAATCAGCTTGTTAGGTAAATACTTTTTGAGTGAACATTAATTTCAGGGACCTTGTGTAAACGAATAAGTATAACGTCTTGAGTTTTAGAGTTTTAAGTCAAGTATAGAGTACCTACCTACATACTTTTCGATTGTAATAAAAACGAAACTGCTGAAATATAGACTAGCTATTTGCCTATACATATAGGAAAGTATATTACAATATTACAGTACTATTATAGTGGCAGAATTATTAAGTAGTAAAAATGAATATCTGTTTTTGAATTAAGTGCAATAACAGATAACTTCGTGGAGTAGTTGAATATGAAAAAAAATAAAATTAAACTTGACGTATTTGGTTGATTAAATGGATCCTTCAATAACGAGTCACTCCTTTATGCTAATATAAATTAATATTTCATTTCGCCCTTTCAAAGATTGATTTAGATTTTCTAATATATTTATAGTAGGAAACGCGCGGCAGCACAGAGATAAGTCGGTGCATGCTAAGTAAGTTTATGTCTTATAAACTTCCTTACTTATTTACTTACTAACTAACTATACTCTTAGCACTTTATAGTTAGATTTGGTAAATGGCGTCTTAAACATTTCAGAGTTCATCGATTATTCCTATTAGATAGACAGGTATATACAGGGTATCCCACCACCTTCGATGGATTTTTCTGGAGCAGTTAAAATTAAATTTTTTTCGTTCAATCAGATTTTTTTAAGAAGACATCTATTTAGAGAAAAATTTAATTTTTATTTTCACCACTAAATTTATAAAAAAAAAAAATGTATTTATTCACTTTACACAATTTTCAAAAAAAGCTCTTTTGTAAATTATTCTAAAAGTATCATACATTTATATCCGATCAATAGTTTTCTAGTAACAGCCGTTTTAATATCTAAAATGTTTAATTTATAATACAATAAATCAATTATAATATAATCAACAAATGTTTCCTATCGCGATCCTTCCACAGTAGTCTCGGTTTTCACAGCTTTCCTCAGAAATCAAAACAGCTATTGCTAAGAAACTGTCGATCAAATATAAATCTATGATATAATAAAACTTTTAGAATCTATTTTACAAAATGGTTATTTCTGAAAATTGTGTAAAGTGAAAGACTATAATTTTTTTTAGAAATAGGGGATAAAAATAAAAATTTAATTTTTCTTTAAACAGATACCCCCCCCTCTCCCAAAGGAAAGCTGATTGAAAAAAATTCTATATTAACGGCCCTAAAAAACAACGTCAATCATGGTGGGACATACTTTACATTCAATTCTCAATCCTATAGATCAAATAACAATTATTGTGCTTATAACCTTATCATGAAAAGTTACACGGTTATAGTCATGTGAGGTACATATATATTCTGGTGGCGTAATTAAGAGTTGTTCTTGAGAGGGAGGATACATTAAAAAAAAAAAATACTAAAAATTAAACTCCTTACCCAGGAAGTCATGATAAGAAGCCTCCCTCCCCGGCTTTGCCTAAAAGTTTAATAAAAATTAAACTTTAGGGCTATTTCAAAAGGTTTTCTTTTTAACTCCTTCAAATAGTGTCTATGTAAAGGCTGTAATTGTACGGAAAATAACTGACCGGAATGATAAAAATGACAGAACGTTACACCATGAAATGTAAAATTACGGAACTAGACAAATGCTGAATATAAAATCACGATTAATAATATCCAGGGACGCAACATCACCGAACGTCATTTTGCTGAAAGTAAAATGATGGAATGTGAAATACAATAAACCAATGATTCTCAACATAACGTCTATGAATCAATCATACTAGGTAGTACCGGTACATTTATCAGCTACCGTAAACGTCATTTTGATCTAACCATAAACATTAAATTTGTAAAACATACATTTGATCTATGTGGTAACAGCTTGGCCATAGATTATTTAATCACGACCAGTGACCACAGACATATACATTATTTATATGTTTGTGATCCACATGGTTTAATATTTTAGGTACCAATTATTATCTCTGTCAACTCAAAAAAAAAACAAATAATAATAATAAATACCAATGGGCGTAATTTTCAACGGATGGTATACACGATATTTCGGCTAACGTTTATAAATATTTACTCTACGAAACTTAATATATAAAATACTGGAGCCCATGTGTACCCTGAGAGATTAACGGACGGGCATAATATAATATAATATTTTATAACTGATTAAGAGCCGGTTGGGAAATTTAGCCAGATGTATTCATCTCGCTCCAACGACGGGTCTTTTATATTTTTAGTAAAGGATAGGTAAGAAAGTACGGTGTAGTATGAGGGCCGGAGTTTTAAAAGTTTCATCCAAGAATATCTATTGATATACTCAGTGCTGTGTATTGGTAAATTAATTGATGAGTACACGCACTTTTTAATGATATTTTATGAAAAAAAAAATTTTTTTCTCGCTACACTCTAAATATGCAAACAAATTAGACGTTTTTCACCGAGTGCAAAATGTGTACTTTTATTATCATTTTTTTTTTTTTACTTCAACCATATTCTTTTAGGTGTTTCTAAATGCCACATTAACTATTCTTCAAATAATCATCCAATAAATACAAATTATATGACTTTATATTTCTACGATGAAATAATAAAACTTATTAAAATAGGTATTTTATAATATTTTCCACATAAACTCCTAGTCCTAACGACCAAACATTCCGATTGACGGTACGGTAAAAAACATATCGTTACGCGACTTGTTTCCGTTCGTTTAGTATCTATGTCGGTTAATCGCGGATTTCGATTATACTATATTGTACCGTTTACGTATTTGCGATGTTTTATTATATTATGTAAGTACACACACGTTAAAGACCGCGAAAACCGTACACCGCGGATTCGGAAAAAGTGCCCCGTATCGCTTTGTGTTTTTACAATACTATTTCCTGTGTATGTGTAATACACTGCAGTTATGAGTCCTCGATGCATTTCTGGATAACACCTATAAGTATACCCGCTGCAGTTTAACGATCGGGGAACGAAAAATCTACGGGAACATAATATTAAGTCCGTTATCTCGCGGATACCTACCGCATATACGATACTTTTGCGAGTAGGTATACACGGGAGTTCAGAACGCAATACTGTTATATAGTTTTTAATACGGATTCCAATTTTATTTTTTATGCCGTATTATTATATTGTTTATACTCCGTCATCCCGGAGGTACGTAGTAGCTAGTGATCACAAAATTGCTTTGTGCGAGCACTGGCGCACTATAATAAACCCACGATAATACGTCGCGTATTATATTATTATAGCCAATAAAATCCTCTAGTTGAGTATACCATATAAAATGGATCATAACGTATCGAGTTCAAGGCCACGTGTTTTCTTTTATTTCAACCACAATACGGGATTTTGTTGACATTTTTTCTCTATTCCGTTTTAAATTTAATACGTGCAAAACAAGGTTGTGCTACTCAATTTTGGTCGATAAAAATTACAAATTCTTCATGGCACCATACAACTCACCAATAAGAGTGATAACCGCCATGCACTTGCGACGGAGCAGGGCTCATTTATTCAGTAAAAATTCATGCAATCAAGGGTTAAGTTTTATCTATTTTGTAGGCTTTTTGTCGTTTTCTTGTTTTACATTTTTAAATCGTCCATTTTTAATTAAATCAATTCAAAACTTTGGAATGGCTCAATCAAAATTATTCTCAATTCAAAGGTCGAGAAACGCTGCTCTAGTCCTCTTCCCGGTTTATAGCCTTATTTGTTCGCTGATTTTATAATCTCCTCGCCGCATATACAAACCATTGGATTCTCTGTGCTTTCGCAAAATATATTATCATCGGTACTCTAGCCATACACCAGATCACAATCTGGTGGACAATTTTCAGTACAAATAATAATAGAAACAATTACAATATAAAGATGCGAGTTTTATTGTTCAACGAAAAATCGCTAGACTGAATTCTCATTAGTACGGGAGATATTAAAAAAAAAAAATTATTATTTAGTTAAAAAAGCTCAAGCTCAAATTCAATCGCTCATAAACGAGACACTGTACACTCGTTTCGTCGTATTTACTGTTGTTTTGAAGTAGGACGCCGATCATAAAATTAAAAAGATCATTAATCTTTAATAAAATTCGAGTTCAGTTATATGTTTTTCTCTTGGATGCTGAATCAGGGAGTATTTTTTAAACAAATCTCCTCTGTATTATACTTTGCTCTTATTATCTTTAATGCACTATGTACGTATGTTATATTTATATGAAACGTGTCCAACATATTATTCTAAATAATTCGTCCCAGCCAAGAAAGTACATCCTCTAAAAGAATATAATATTTAATGGTCGCGACCCCGATATCATTTATTCTATTTATATTGTACGGTTTTATTATTATTGTTTTAAAACTAATAGCTTATGAATTGCTAATGAGAATCGCGAGACTTTGAAGTCATCGTCCATTTATTTTATATAATGTGGACTTTATAATTTTAGCAACGAGTCAGCTGCAGCTAATTTGTACGACCTATTACGCTCGTTTTTTAATGGATCTTGTTAAAATATTAAAAGCGCTCCACGGAAAACACAATGCGCAATAAAGTACGAATACTTTTCAAATTTCGACGACACTATACTACGATTGCTTTGTGTTTGTTTGTTTTATTTTTTTTTCATTAATCCAACCACAGACCAATAATAATCATGTATCGAGTTTGGGGTTGGATGTCGGGACACCGAGAAATCTTCCAGTAAGCCATCTAAAATATGAACTTATTACATTGGCATGCGCACGGGGTATGCAGGGTATGAGCTTGCATAAAACACCATAATTTCAATAAGTATCCCAAATGCTTTGGGAGAGATAGCATTAAAAAAGACTGCGACCACGTCATACTTACACGATTTAGACGTGTTCCATCCATTATGTATTGTCTTTGTTTGTTTAACAATTGCCTTGTTTTTCTTTTACCAGTTTTAAGTTGTAATTATTGTTTGGTTTAGTAGTTGATAAATGATTGACTGTGTTTTGTATTAGTTAATTTGAATAGTTTGTTTTGTTTTCTATTTGCTTGAGAGATAATCACAAACACGTAAAATAATATTTTTCACTAGACGTACATCAATGAATGTTTCGACATTTTTGCCATTATATACGTGAAGCGAAGTAGGTGTATTCCGAAATTGTTTCAATTTTTTTAATTAGAATAGTATGGTATAATATTGTAATTTATCATGGAGATAATAATATAAAATTCACTTTGTACCTATCGAACGTAATGTAAAATCTTTTAATTGTTATATACTGACATTATAAATTGAATTGTACAAGTTAATTGTATTGTGAAACATTTACAACTTGTCCAACTAAATAATGGGTATGTATTAACTATACAAATATTTGATTTTTATAAATTAGATCTAGATAGGCAACACAAATATATAATATATTTAAAATATCTTAGCCGACACGAAGGGAAGTTTTTCTCCTAATTTTAATATCCAGAATCTTTTAATAATCATTTATTAATGATTTAATAAATAGTTTTTTGTTTATGCGTTATAACAAAGTTTCTAATACATTATATTATCTGTTTTTGTTTGAGGAATCACACTACTTAACTGTCGGTACTTTTTGAAGCCAATCTAGAATCGGTTAATTAATTGTCATTGGGGATTAAAGATCTAAACTGTGAAAGTATTCCTATTATCTCTTGAGAGCTTAAACTATAAACCAAGTGGTTTATTAGATTAAACTGGTCTTTTAGTCGCTAAATAAAATTATGTCATTGAAAAGTGTGTATAGGTACAACAGTATCATAATGAAAGTGGTGAGTCAGTATTACATTTTAACATATATTTTAGACGTATAATATATCCAATCTGATATTTGAAATCAAAAATCATAGGCTGATATTGAAATTAACTGATATAGGTACCTATAACCCTACATAAGTTACACTGGAGTATATGGGTTCAAATTTATTGTTAGGGGTTTTTTTTCATATTTCCGTTTTCAGAATTCAAATATTAGGACAGGACCTTTGTGTAGGCCGAGGCCGAGAATAGTTCTATCATTCTATTCCGAGGATAGTTCTAATACCTTATAATAGTGCACAAGAGTACGGCGAAGCTTTAAAAAATGTGAACCGAATTAGGGAATTTTAATAATTAATATATAAATACCTGATTAGTTGTAAGACAGGAATTGGTGTTGGAATAAACCTCGCGAATAATGATTAAAAAAACAAACATAATGTTAGTACTTATGTATCGTTTCATAATTCGAAATGAAAAAAAAGAATATATTAACTATATATTATATTTGTGTATGCAAACGTACTATTTATATGGTCGATGAATCCAACCGTTAAATAATCACGATTGTGTTAATAATTCCGAGTATATTCCGAGGTTTTTTATTTATTTATTTATTTTTTTTTTTTTTTTTTTTTATATGAGTTTCTGTAATGGTCGTGAAACATTAAACCGGGGATTATTGTAACGGGGTTTTTTTTTACATTTTTTATTATGATTTTGTTTTTGTTATAAAACACTTTAATTCACGAATGCGATATTATTGTACATAATCAGAACGAAAGGGTCGAACAATACCTATGTATACGTTTAGACTGCGTAATTCGGCACATAATTATTCGACGACGAGAACTAAATGTACTTTATTATTTATTCGATTTTTAATGAAACCCGGACAAAAACCTATCCGAAACCTATATACCTATATTGTAGCTGATGGGTTCAACCGAAAATCGAATATAAAACATTAATTAGGAAAAACATTTGATAAATGGTTAAAAAAAAAAAAACGGTAATTACAATATTATAATACATATAACGGTAAATATTTATCGAAATCGGCAATTTCAAAACTATCGCGATATTTATCATCATCGAAATTATTGGTTTTCAAGAACATACATGAAATCGTTAAATCATGTCGCATTTATAAAAAATGAATATCCTTACGAATTATTACTGACATTAACTTTAAACTGTAACCTATAAAACGAAAATTTGATAATCTATTAAATCTTATCGGTTCATACCGTTAATTCTACAAGGGTGATTTCTTTTTTATCGCGAATCTGTAATTTTCTTGGAGGATTTTAAGTGAATTTAAGTTTCTTTTTTCTTTTTTAACCAATGTGAAATCGTTTAAGTTTTATTTTAAAACCATTTTTAATTTTTTACCTCCACTCTATGTACTTTATATAAGTATATACTTTGGTTTTTTTAAATGGGAATTAATCCCAGATTCGAAAAATAGAGAATATTTGTCTAGAAACTTTGATATACGTAACTCTAAAATCAGATTTACCTTTTATGAGTTATAACCGTTTAAAGTTTAGACCAGACGAGTATGGAAAAGTAATAAATCAATTTTTAAATGATAAATTGATAATTCTTCCCTACTCCTCCGGATTAAATGTTAACGGTTGTGACTAATAAAATCTGTTTTTAGTATTAAGAATATCAAAATTTCTAGACAAATATTTTCTATTCAAATCTGTGTTTAAAAAGGAGATGGAGTTCTTATTTTAAAAATTAAATTATATCATTATTTATGGTATATGGAGTGGAAGTAAAAAATGTTTTTAAAATATTTTATAAGATTTCATAATAATTAAAATTCCACGAGAAAATGTCTAGTTCATTATAAAAAAAAATAAATCTGTTTACCTATGGCCGTAGTAGAGCAAAAAAAAATTCATACAGAATCGGCATGCATATATTTGCCTGGAAAAAAAAATCTTTCGATATGGCGTAAAAGATCCGTATTTACGTGCGCAACACAAAAATGAATATTGTACAACGAATTTGTTTGTTTCATAAGTAATTTTTCGTATGTTCGTCGCTGGATTTAAAATCTCTACAGTATACGATTACAGTGGTTTTCCCATTAGAGACGATAATAATATTATGATAAGGGAACGAAAACGCATTTATCCGATGTATATTGTAATTCATTTTGTGCAAACATGAGCCAATATAATAATATTTGTATCATACTTTTTTTTTATTTTTGCTGTTTTTGAAAGTCGGTAGAGTGAAAAGAAACCGTGTTTATTGTATTTTATTGTTATAATCACCGCGGTTAAAAGTTAAAATAATTTTGAAACTTCGGTTCGATGAACTTTATTTATATTATATTAATAAAGTATATATATTTAAAAATATAAAAAGTTTACTTTTTTTACACAAAGTTCTAAAAATTCTCACGGATAACTTTCGAGAAATTAAAACTACCGAAATTATGAATGTGAAAAAGAGGCCAAGTTTGCCGAAAAAGAATTGATATCTAAGTGGGATGCCAAGTTTAAATTAGTTTAATAAAAAAAAAATTCGAAAACACGCTATTAAAAAGTGTACGAAGTGGTTTATACTATTGTTGTTGTTACAAGTAGGTATTGCCGCGATCCGCGTAACATAGCATTTTATAAATGTTGGGCCCCTTTACCCTAACATTTGTTTCGTAACCATAACTTAAAACACGATAAAGGGTGATTAATTCTCTATAGGTCACTAATTATCTAGGAATTTCTTAACTTTTTCCGGATTTTTTTCTTTTTAGAAAATTTAAGATATTTAATTATATTTAAAATTATGGGTATATTTCCACTGTTTTCGGGAATGAATAAAACGACTATCCGTTTTTGATTTTAAATTTATGGTAGAAAATGTATTCATTTTTCGTACTCGGTTTTTCTTGGCTTTCCCTATTATTATGAAAACTGTTTGAAAAAAAAAGAAAATGAACGTATCATCCAGATCCAAAATTCTACGAAAAATTTATTTCTAGGTCGGAGTAAGATTTACGGTAGAAAGCTGCTAACAGTAACGAATTATAAGCTAATTCGGTCAATATAAGTTTCCGACTAATAACCCACATGTTAATATAGATACTTATAATATTAAAATAAATGTATATGTATTAATAAATGTATTATTATAATTATTTTCGATTACAGTTACAATCGCAAGTCAAGTCCATTAAGTCCAACCAAAACAACGTATTATTCGAATTTATACAAAACAGTAATAATATTATCATAACGAAACAATCAATAATATTATATTAGCCTCGTTTTTAAATCCGTGTTTCGAGTAAAACGGTCCAAGTATAACGTGAATTATCGTAGCGTTTCGTTCGTCGCTATTGAATTTTGACAACCAAAACGTAATTCAATTCTATGTTGTACACGGTTTCATTTCATGGTATAAAATAATCGGCTGGCGGTATATTTTTGATTTATGCCGAAAACGCTGTTAATATTAGCAATGTTCCAAACCCGATTTCACGATAATTGAATTATTGTATATTTCATAGGGATGATGTACAACTGAAGGTTGGTGGTAATGCGGTGTTATTAAAAAATTAGCTTTGTACTGGCGTACGGAAACGGTATTATAATATTACGCGAATAACTCGTACGTTGGGAATCGGACGCGGCACCCTAACCTAATTCACCCTACGCGCCCCGTCTACTAGACTACCTATCTAATTGTTGAAATTTTAATTTTTACGAATCTATGAGTTATCAAGTAAATTTAAAAAATATTACGTACCCATACGGTAAGATCTGGAAATCGCGAAGTTTACTTTAATATGTTCAGTCCTCGTCGGTACAAAAACCGTTCCGGCGTCACTGCCTTACTTGATAATTACTTTATAGATGCCCATAACTGGCAAATAAATGGTTCTCAAGTGGGAAGATTACACCCATGGGGCAATTTAGATATTTTACGGGAGATATCTCCACGGATTGTGGACTTGCTGAGAAAAAAACAATTGAACATTCCTCACTAAAATTCTTAATTTATCATCAATTTCTCTAATTTTATTTCCATTCAGTTTTACGATTTTCTATGTTTTCGTCGTATGTAATTTGGCTGATGTCAGTAAGTTGTTTTTTTCTCAAAACGATACTAATAATGTTTTTATAAATTAATTTCAATGGAAAAAACAATGAATAGTGATTATGTATATTATGTATAATTTATTTGCACAGTTTACCAAAACAAAAAAAGTCATCAATTTGTTTTAAATGTATGCGAAGGGCGTAAACATTTTGAAAATCTACTAGCCAGAGGATGTAAAATAAAAAAAAAAAAAAAAGAGGTCGGAAACAACTGGTGTAGGTTGACACCAGTGCAGTGTACATACGTTGTCGGACGGAAAACGCTATCTCCGCGATACCTGATAATAATGTTTTCCCCCGTAATTTCAGCAATTTCGTAGGCATTTACATTTTGAATGTCTTAACGTCACGCACCATACACAGTATATATTTTTTGTATTTAGTATGTACCCCGTGTATTTCGTTCACGTTTAACCTCGATTTTGTCTCGTCGTCGTAGGTACCTAAACCATATATTATAAATATACATATACACATACGCACCACGTTGAATTATTCTAAACGTTATTTACATTGCATTATTTACATCATTGCGTACGAGTAATATGTATATTAGGTACCTACCCCGTGTATTTATTGTACGGCGTGTGACTCGAATATAACGCGATTTTAGCGAAAACTGCACAAAACGATTCGAATTCGTTACGATTTTGATTTTTTTTTTTTTTTTTTTTTTTTTTTTTTTTTTTTTAACATTCAGAGTTCGCATTTATTGTGGAAAAAAAATAAATAAACACCGAAATACGGTTCGTTCGATTGCACTCTAGAAATTATATTGTATATTTTTTTTTACCATGATGCTATATACGAGTATACTATAAATTTTCATTTCACGATAAGCACATGTTCCAAAAAAATAATAATACAACAGTATCATAACTGTTTCGAATATAATAATATTTTTATTATTATTATTATTATTGATTCGACGTCATAACTTCATAATATATTATTTATTTATATCCAAGTGCATCCGAGTATACCTATTTTAAAATTATTTATTTAATATTATTATAACATAACTGGGTATCCAGCGGCCGTAACTACGACGACGAAACGAACACGTTTTAATTGTGTTATCGCGTAAACACGATACGCGATGATGCAAATTTTCTATTATAGGCATCACCAAAGTACATTATAATAATAAACTGCTGCATCCGACGCGATACCATTTGAGTATATTAACATATTTCAATGTATATGCAATAGCGGATCTGGGGGGGGGGCGGGCGATAGGGTAGATCGCTCACCCACCGTTCACTCTTCAATACACTTTTAGCTAGATTCATCGTTGGGCCCGTCATAATTGTGTGCTTTATATGCGTTTTCAAAATCCCCCCCCCCCCCCCGATCACCGTTATTTTTCCACTCCGTATATTTTAGCCCGACGGGACGATTTTATATTCCGTGAGATGATGACGACACAAGCGTACACGCAATAAGATACATACGCGATAATCGCCTACGTCTTATACCCCATTAGATACTTTACAATATCGAAATGAACAGGGTAATCGTTCCTCGATAAGATTATTCATATTCATGAGAAACAAACGGTTCTAAAACATTATATTAGCGTTATTATTTCGTTCACCTTTTTATAAAGCTACCCACAATTAGTTTTCAAATAGCAAACTATAATAAACATTTCAATTTTTTAACAAAAACAATTTGAGAAAATAATACTCCATAATTTTTAAATTTTATTAACCATTAAGTACAACTATAATAATGAACCACGCATAAAATTGTCAAGTATTTCTGTTCGCTCAACAAAATTGAATCCACAGAAAACTAAAAACCTCGAAAATGTCAAAATACCTATTAAAAGCTAAATAATTGCCATAATGTTTTGAAAATTGTATCACATCTAGAAAAAGCAATATGATTATTCTGTGGAAATTGTAAGTCTTGAAGATTATTTTTAATCGAGTGTTATAAGGTTTAATAAAACCATTATTTTCGTAAATTTTTTTTTGTTTTCGATGGTTTTTGATTTTTTCAATTATTAAGAAAACTGAAAAGAGAAAAAACAACTACAAATTACCAATTAAAAACAAAATATTACAAAAGGTCTCTCTTGTCATTAATTGATTGGAGCTAGATTTCTTGTAGAAATGTTGTTCAAAGGCATAATAATTTAAAAATAAAAAAAATCTCATAAAATATGATAGTAAAACTAATATATTCCACGCTGCGCTAAAAATTTAAACTAAAAAAAAAAACCCCTTAGATTAGAATAATTGTAAAACTATCCGATAGACTAGCTGGTTCGGCAATGCTTTGTTATTGCTAGATAATATTTATAACAATAATATATTTCCTGTCCGTGACAGCTGCATCATTTCTATGTCACCAAGGTAACCAATAAATTAACAAATAAAATTTAACTAATAGTTCCAAAAATAACAAAATTCCTACCGTCCTGTCCGGCGTTACTCGAGCTAATTTTTTTGTTATTTCATCCGTATCACCTAAGTAACCCACGAATAAACAAAATAAAATTAAAAAGAGATGGGCATATTTCGCACATGAGTGCAGCCACTGTTGTATGTAAGAACTTGTGAAGATAAAATACAGATAAGAATTGAATGCAAGATTTAAGCAACCATTGCAACGAAAAAACAATTCTGAGTGGAATTCAATTGATAGTGTTGCTTTATCAACAATATATATATCAAGCCATATTATAGTTACAACAATGTGCGTTTCCATGACAACAATGATTGTTTTAAAAAGACTATAAAATAATACAAACCTAATCATAACAAAAATAAATATAAACGGAAGCCAATGACCTAAAGTCTTATTTTTTTCATCATTCTTCAAACCTTTTTATTCTAAGAAACCAGTTTTTCCAGGATTTTCAAAAAATTACCACCCAGAGAACATTTCCTTTAAGAAAAAGTGCTATACTTGATAACTGGAGTAAACTTTCTGGTAGAAAAAGTGTTTACATAAAAAAATGAACATCATTGTAAAACCAATACATTCTTCGCTAAAATTAGAATTTAAAATTAGATATCCGTACCAAAAATACCCGAAAACCTCTATTTTACTCCCTTAGGGGTTGAATTTTCAAAAATTCTTACCCAGCGGAGGTCCATGTCATAAGAGCTATTATATACCAAATTTCAGCCCGATCCATTCAGTGGGTTGGGCTAAAAGATAATGAATCAGTCAGTCAGTAAATGCTATTTATACACATAAATAATCAGACCGTAAATGACAAACGGGTCACTCCTTCCTTCTTTCCAAAAAAGATTGTTTACATTGAAAAAAAGATTGTAATATTAATTGATATTTTCTATGGTTACCGTGGTGATTATGGTGAGAAACACCTGTCTTAATAGATAGAGAAATCATAGGATATTATATTTGATGAGCACCTTTTAGATAAGTTTCTGTACATATTAAATTAATTTAAATAAAACTGTTTTTTTTTTTATTTTTTTTTTATATATATATATAAATCCCAGTACGAACATCTGCTACAGTTTACAGTATGCTTAATAACCATCAATTTTGTATTGACTTATTTATTTTTTTAACGATGAATTCATAATAATAATTCGGTAATTAAATTTGCACTTGCGTCTTTTATAATTCTCAAGGTAAACGTAAACAGCGCGCGTTATTTTATTCCGTTTGCCCAACGCCTGATTGAAAAATCGTTCTCCTGCGTTTCACCCCCCTCCTCCCGATCGTGTCTTTTTGTATTTTTTTTTTTTCAGTGACAATATATATTTTGTGCGAGAAATAAAAATATAAAATCAATAAAAAAAAAAAAAAATTAAAAAAAACTACTCGTCCGTCATTGTGGACGGAGGGCGTGGTTAAAAATTATATTCGAATTATATATATTTTTTATATTAAATTAACGCCAGCCCCATGGAATTATTCTGTAGATACGTCTTCGCTATTGACCTACAAAATTGGGTTCATTATTATATTTTTTTTTTTTTTAGTTTAACCCAGAGGAAAATGTTTTTCGTTTTTTCAATACAAGACGACAAGGTTTTTCGGTTATGAGGAGCAAATAATGCACTCGTCGGCACATTATTATTTATCGCGAGAGACCGGTAAGTTATTGGATAATAATAATTAATTCGAGGGACCCATAGCGTTAAGACGTCCGGCTATAACCGGATTACTCGGCGTGTACTCGCTTTTTGCCTTTCTTTACAATATTATATATATTATATATATACATACTGGAATAATTGAACTGTCGGCGTTCATCGATTGGAAGGCGTTTATAATCATTTGACTCTAGAATTATGGTAAATCGAAAGGCCTTTACAGGTACTCATCACGCGAAAAAAAAAATATCGCCATATCGATTAATATTATTGTAAACGCGGTGAGTGACACGAATTTTTTTATCGTGTTATAGAAATACGAATTACCTGAAAAATTTGATTTGGCCATTTCCAAACGCAAAACAAACAATCTATACATCTACAAAAAAAAAAAATACACATATATTTCTGTTGTTCATAAATAATGTTTTAAATCTATTTGTTGAAAAGTTGTTTTTTTCTTTTCTATACGACAGACGAAACAATTTATTTGATCCGATCGCTCATTTTTATACATAGATTGTATGTACCCGCAATATTACTACAATATTACTATATTCATTCTGTGTGAGAGAAATAAAAATAAACTTGTCTGGTTTGTAGAAGGTACAATAATTCCGATCGGTTTTCAAATGTGTTTCATATAAATTCCGTGTAAGAGCTATAAAGTATTATATTTTATACTAAGGGGTTGGAAACAGGTTTCCAAATTGTCTTCCATTTTTATAACTAGGAAATTGATTTATATCCTTTTAAAATCCACAAAAAGTGCTAAAAAAACATCAAAAAAGCCCTAAAGAATGACTTAGAAATGTTTTAAAAAAAAAAAAAAACAATAATAATAGAGGGGTTTGAAAGTCTCGTCTCTAATGTTATTAACTTATTAAAAATATTTTTTAAACTCAAAAAGTAATTTTTTTCAAATAAATGTGTACTTATTATTTATATATATAGACATAAAAAAATACTTTATGTCAGAAAATTCTAGTTAATATTGTTAGAACTGTTGGAGGGGCCCGATTTTAAAACCCCTCTACTAACTCTCGCTTTTTTTTCGGATTTTAAGTGCATATAAACCTGTTCCTTATGATAACATTATTTTTCATTTTTAAATGACCTCGTTAATGATAAGATTTGTCCTAGTGGACAAATCTACTGGCCCATTCAAGGGTAGGTAGGGCTGTTTCTATGGATAAATATAACGTTTAAATCAGCAGACTGTAATAAAATTCACCAACAATCGCTTATTCAGTTTTAAATTTTGAAAACATATTTGAATTCTTTGATTTCTTATCCATGTATTGTAGGAAATATATTTTGATCGTTTTTTACTTAATTTAATTCGGTTAAAATGCATGACGAGTGTACCTTTTTTTCGTAAAATAAACTCGTATGAACTTAAGTGTCACATAGAAAAAAGAAAAAGAAAAATGAATAAATTCTCTTCATAAAAAATTAAATCTAATCAAATTATTTTTCAAAACAGAAATTCGATAACTATGTTTATTTTACTCTATCTTATTTGTCTAAAAGTATGAAAACCCGAATCGCTTTCATAAGACCCGAAGAAGCTCATGTTACTGGCAATTTTTACTTTTATTTATGAAATTATGTTTTTACATTTCACATTATTTGGACTAATATTTTGTTCCGTTTACTCTTGAGATTACACAATACTTCCAATTCGGAAACTACGGAGTATCTAAGATTTAATGCGAGAGGTACACTACACAACACGACTATACGCAATTAAAATTTAATATCACTAGTTCATTAATTACTTTACTACGAATTATTAATTAATTTGGATTATATAATACAACAGTCGAAAATAAGCTCTTCTTTAATACGTTTATGATAATATATAATCTTACTATAAAACCGGGTTACCTACGTGAGGTTTAAAAATAATCTGGTTGATGATTTCTGTTTGCCATTCTAAACATGTCCGCGACTCATTAATTATTTGGTTATGAAATAATCCAATATTTCCAGCGAACGTCCGATTAAACTATCGACAATTTTGTTAAAAAAGAATCCGAGATCGGATTTAATAATATACAGAAAAATCCGTACATCTTTATTTTCGTATTTGGTGAATGAACAATATTATTAAGAGGAAACCCACACACGCATTTCGTTGTCTCCATCATACGAATACCTAATTTAGCAGAACTAATTGTATGCTATTAATTTTAATATGGGATGCACACACTTCCACCGGGCGGTTAGAAAAAAAAAATAAAATGATCTCATTCAAACTCCTAATCTGATAATTTCAGATTAACTTAAAGAAAGTAAATTTCCTAAGTGTAATTCCAAAATCAAATACTTTTATTGGGTAGAAAAAAATTCGCGTCAGGTGTAAAGAAAATCAGAGGTAATAATAAATGAACAATTTATGTCGGGTAGATCATATTTTAATGTAAAAAGCCGATATTTTTATAATATAATTGTTAGTTTAATACTTATTCAGTATTTCTGAAGAAGTAATGCTGTAAACTACACTTTCAATATTCAATATTGATCAATTTGTGAAACACTGTTGCTCTATATTAGGGTCTCTTATCTTTAAGCAATTTGTTAATATTTAACACATTGACGAAAAACTACTTATACCAACTTAGATACATTTAAAAAAGTGTTCGTTATGGAAATATGTTTTATTACAACCACTACCAGTTTTCAAACAGATATCAAATAGGTACTATCCTAAACCGTGTTCCGCGGACTAAGGTTTGGGAATCAATGTATGTGAAACGAAAATGAAGACTTTGTATAATAACCATGAATGATTTTCCTTAAAAAAAAAAAAAAAAAACCAATAAGAAAAATAAAGGAACCGATTTTTTTAGGTTCCAAGCGTAGCAAGAGAGCTATTGGTTTTACAATGCTGTTTATTTTTTTATTTTTTGTTCTTTGTTCTAGTCTATGGACATATTATTTCCTAATAAAATTACTCTAATGTTTACTAACCACATCTTTTATAAAAGCTCAAGTTGTCTAAATTGTACTTTAAAGAGGTAATTTTTTTGATTTTTGACGTTTTTTTTTTTTTAAATAAAAGCACTCAAGTGGAAAAAACGCAGGAAAACGTACAATTTCAAGATTTCATTATTTTATAAAAACACAGACGACATTTTATACCAGAACAAATGATTTAATTGAAAAATCTCAAGGTACCTTTTTTGTTGCCTTTATTTTCTTACGGTATAATCGCCAAAATTTGAGCCACTTCTGAACTTTTAAGGAATTTTAATTTTTGAGAGTTTTTTTGCTGTAATCTGGTTATAAATACACGTAGGGACTTGAAACTTGATAATAATACTTACACTGAATTTACTTAGAAGTAGTACAATTTAAAAAATCATCGGGTGATTTTTTTACTCTTTTTATTTCTTTACAATGGTATTTTATTTTTTTTTTATACTGTAGATCACTTTATCCTAGAAAAATTGCTCCGATGTATAAGGGTAGCACCTTTTCTGAAATTCAATTTTATCTTTCTGGTAAACAAATAGGTCACTTTTTGTTTTTCGAAACGGTATTTAAAATAAAAATAATAAACCGGGGAAAAAATTACTATTAATACGAAAGTACTTAACACGTTTTCTAGGACAAATATGGCTTCAATTGAAAAACGACAAGCGACCAAATACATGTTGAATTTTTTTTTTTTTAATAAGTGTTTTGAAATCAAATTTAAACGAAAATCACAAAAAAAATGACGGCACTTCAAATTATGTATTACCGAACTGTGCTTGGAATCGTGTTTTGTCAGCAATGGTTCATAAATGAAATAACCTTATGTATCCTACCTTCCCAACTTTCCATTTAAAACAGTGACTGCATCCGTCCCCAGTCTCAGATCTTTTAAATTTGTATTACTTTTTAAGACTGAGAGTGCTAAATTAGGACTGGGATGGCTGTAATAAAGCTTGGGTGAGTTGGAGCACCCTCAAGCAAACCCCCTAGTTGTTCCTATGATACGTGCTTTTATGATTTAAATTGTTATATTGCACACACTTGTATATATTCCATTTAAAGTTTAATATACCAAATAAAACCAAACACAGATAATCACAGTTTATATCAATTCCCTTTAATGTTAAAAACCGCAAACACTAAATCGATTTTGTTGAACGTAAAATAGTTGTCATATGTCGTGCATTTTGTATGTGACCGAGATAACAAAATATGCACGTATGAAAACGTCCTCTAGATTTATATTATATTTATATATAATTCTATTGTTGAAAATATTTCGAATAATTCAATCTTCGAAACACAGTATCGTGTTAAAAACTATTTCCATAATAATCAATAATATTGTAAAGTTGTCAGGTGGGTTAACGGGTTTCGAAAGGCAGCGATTTTCGAAAACAAACAAAATATAATATTTATTAGCTATTGAATTTTAAATGAGTTTTCCACAGTCTTCGGTAATATAATGTACCTAGGCACATATTATTATTTATTATCACTTACGTATTTATGAATTTCAAATGGAAATGTTTCTTTTCTTCGAATCGTCTCTGAGTGATCATGACTAATATTATTTATCAGTTTACACGCGTGAAAAAATTATGAAAATATCCTTTCTAGACGTTTTCTTTAGAAAATAATAACCCTCTTTGAGCCGATATTGTAATAATAATACAGTGAAACATGTTAAAAATATAAAATGTTCATGATATTCAAAGGTTTAATTACAACTAATATACGCGTATGTATTATATAATAATATATGCGAGGTAGGTGGGTAGACTTTTAAAGCTCTTAACGTTTGGTCCCTATAATACTAAACAGCCAAGAGTAAACAACAACAATAATAATGATAATAATTTTATAAAGGTCTCGATATTTTGTTTGTTTGTATTAAGATATTAATATTTTACAACGTTATCCGGCCGCGAGTTTAATTAAATATTTAAACATTTTAATTTTTTTTTTTTTTTTTAGAAAAGGCGGATTATGATATTATTTTCCAAAAGTACACACTCTCGTTTAATATGTATATGCAGCATTTTTATGTGTAGTTTAGTCTTTGAACGGTGTTGTTCTACTTACAATATAATAATCCATGGTTAATGATAAATTTTCTTTTTTTATTTGTTTTTGAAAACGCATTACATTTTATAATAATCGAATATGCCCGATTTTTGAATTTGTTGACTTATTGCTATATGATCGTCTTAACTTTAGACTCTAAATTACACGTTTTCGGTCAATAGTGTAGGTACAAAATTAGATCGAGATGTTTTAATGATGTCGTCGGAACGATATAATAATATTGACTCAAGTAAGGTAAGAATCACTAATGGAGATATTCGTTTTTAACCTATAAATACAAATATTACTGTTGATGTTTTATAATCTTTTTCTGTGATGTCCATTATGAATCACTTTGTGGAAGATCAAAAGGAAAAACATGGACATAGCAGTATAAAATACAAGCACACTCTTAGAAAAAACTAAATCAATTGACTTAAAGATAAACAAAAAAACCGAGAGTGATAGAACTTCAGTCAAATGAAAATAACAATAAAGAAGTTGGAAATTAAGTATGTCGTCGAAAAAGTTAAACCAGTCAAATATTTAGAATTGAATATCACAAACAACGAGTGGAGTCTAGAAGTTGTGAAACATAATATGCACAATGCAAAAAGGTCATACTCAGCGCTACATCAATATTCTAGATCAAAATTTTTCTCTAGAAGATCTAAGGTCATATATATAACCACAAAAAGACCTTTCGTAACCTTTGAAAATACATTTTACGAGGCCCAATTGTTGATAGCGAATAAATACATGGTGTAGAAGGAAAATTCAGAGTAATCACTTAATTCCCAGTGTTAAAAAGCTATATATTAAAGGTCAAATACTCCGGCAGTGGTTTGGTCACATGGTGTGAAAAGCAGAAAATGTAAGTGTAAGATAAGCGAACGAATGGTAACCTACGGGAAAATACCCCAGAGGAAAACCACGAAATCGACAGACAAGACGGGGTAAGAAACGATTTAGAAAAACTGGAAGAGACGAATCGAGAAGATTGAATTTATAGGACCGGAACGATTGCACTGAGAACAGTACTGGTGGTGGCCATAGTTTTTACAGAATTATTGTAAAGTCAAAAAAAAGAACTATTGATTTGAATGATATGTAATTTTTTTTATTGTCCATCATATTTGACACTATACCGTTCGGTAAATAACAATTAATTACCGCGAATCAATTATTCACCGTTAAACATTTTGAGTTTGGTGTAGGTACAAAGAGATAGAGAATGAAATTTGTTTGAAACTGTCATGCTGTTGTAAAACTGCGTGCTCGTAAATATAGTGTACGAACGCTACGCAATTATTCTTATTTTCTTATTGCTCAGGACCATTCATTGTACTGTGATACGTGTGTAATGTTATTCAAAGTTCCCGTCGCGTTGTTTAAAACAAATACCTACATACAATAAAACTTATATGTCACGGAATCGGCTGACGACTTTTAATTGCTCGACATGATGACGCAAAACGAATATAAACTACATGGCAGTAAATTATTTTCAAAGTCCAAAACTGAGATTTGATCTACGCAGAATCGCAAAAGAAGTCGGTTGTAGAATGGCGTTCGTGTGCGGTGTTCGGCGTTCCGAACGCCCCGTACAGATTTTTTGATTAGAAAATAATTTTAATTTTAAGAATCTTAATTTATCTTTATTTAAAAAAAATAATTATAAAATAATGATAGCAATAGTAATATGGACTTTGACGGCTGTACGGACAAAATTTTAATTTTTGTATCACGGGATTGTTGGAGTTATCGATTGTATTTTACTGTGGGGGGAGAATTCGTGGGAATTTACAAGAAATTCCTAAATCAATGGAAATTTGTACTAAAAATTACAATAAACATTCTTTATGGATAACACCGCCAAGTTATTAAGCTGAATAATAATTCAGCTATTATCTATTTAAATATAAAGCATAATATATATATGTACCAGGCAAGTGTATAAGGGGGGATTTTAGGGGTTGAACCCCCTCCTGAATTTTTATGAAAATTATGATGAAAGTATGTTTTTAATAGAGTCTCATAAGCAGTTTCTGTCAATGAGGAAGATAAATACAATTTTGGTTTTATTTTTATGTTTTTACTACATAGTAGGGACATATTTTTATTATTGTAATTTCTAATTTTGTGTGGTTTTCCTGCTTTTAGGAAATTATAACTGATAAGGCGAAGATAAGCGAATATTGCATAGTCGGAATTATCATCACAATAATATGAATTACGTAATCATTTAGGCTGTATTCACTAAGAAATATGAAATGTAAAATTTAGTAATACCTAAAAGACTAAAAATGAATGTTATAAAATATTGAAATTTTTAATGAAAAATAATTAATCCCATTATTTGTTGAAAGTATGTAAATTTCTTTGTTATAAGAGTATAAAAGAGTACAACCTTAAACCCCTCTCCAAAAATATTTTTTTATAAACACACGTGATATATATATATACGAGTACATTAAACATAAAAATAGATGATCTGCTGATAAGTTATATACCACTGTTGTAAACGAAAAGTTAGAAAGAAAGGATTTCTAGAGCAGTTTAATTTATATCTATACCCAACGATGAAGCGCCAACGGAAAAAGATTCTGGGTGATGTTTAATTGACCGTGTTTTGAAATGCTTTGCTACTTTGGTAATTAAAAAAAAAAAAATTAATGTACATGTGTTTGTAAAAACAGAAGGGTCACTCGGATATATTGTAATTCTTTCTTTTGAGAAAAATCCCATGGGCCATGGTACATTACTAGGAGTATACCGGTCTTTCTGAATCTGTCGTACCGTTAAATTTCAATTAATAAGTAATCGGTCAATTTGTTCGAGCGAATTTCATTCATTGGCAAATTTGAATGCGTACGAACTAATCGTAAACGGAATATTCTATTGTAAAATTAAGTTTGCGAAAAACGATACTCCCACTAGAATCAAAAGGGTACGTACGTCGCGTTGTTGGGTTAGGTTCTGTTAGATTCGGTGTTTTTAATAACGAGCGGCTAAAATCCGATCGTTTTATTGGGTTCCGCAGACGCCTGGATGGTAATATTAATAACGATTGAGTTTTTTTTTTTTTTTACCCTAACTATACTGCCCGAGCTATTTCACCGACCACCACCGGAAAGGTTGTTTAACTTTTTGGCCGTCTGTTTTCTGTGGGTTGTAAATGTACACGTATACGCAGCTCGTATTTGACTTTGTCGAACTTTCCAATATAAATAAATATAAATGAAATATATACGTATAAACGCGCGTGTTTGCGCGGTCGCGTGTTGCCATATATATATAAATGTATATAACTTTAAGGTTGTAACGATTGGGAAAAAAAAATAGACGATATATATAAAGTTTGCAAAAGAGGAGGATTGAGCGGACAAACGTAAGTTTCCGTTCATTGTGGCGGTCGTGATTGCTAACGAATCGTGGCACGTAGAAAGAGGGGGAAAAATCACGGGCAAATAGACCGCAGTGTTTGCTAAACGAAACGAATTGAATATTTCGCGTCGAATAAAAACCGGGCTGGGTGGATTTATAAGAATATTACTTTTTTTTTCCACGCGTTTCGCGTCTACCATTCGAAACGTGTCGTAAAATTTAATATACTATTACCGAATTTCTTTGACAAAAAAAAAAAAAAACAAAAATATAACTATCGTATTCAAAGTCCAAAATTCTATTATAGTGTACGAAGAGATTTACGATTTATTTTTTTCGCTCAGAATTTTGTTTTAAATCCTAAACCCTAACATAAATTCCGAATTATTCTGGTCGGTTACAATCAGGTTACCGAGAAAACGCCATCTATCGGCGTTATCAAACTTTGACAAAACTTGAAGTTCCATTTAACTACAGGCACAATGAATTTCTCTGTTAAAGTTTGACTATAGCGAATTCACTCACCGAAACGGTCCCTGTAGATATTTGGTCATTCGAACATTGTTTTTAATTGTTTTATTTCAACAATATTATTTGAAAATTATACATTTGCGTCAATCGCTCATATATTGCAACGATCAGTTGCGCAATCAGAAGGGGGTTGCGATTTATCCCGAAAACTTGTCCAGAAATTTGTTTGAAATTCATAACGCTTCCAATAATAAATCCTGATTGCGCCATCGGTAACATTTATAGTTGTAAACAAAATCGACGATTCGGTGCGGGCCGATATTTTAGCGACACACATAGATATGTATAACAAAGGTCCTGAATTCAAAATATTCAATCCTATATATGGGACTGATATGACCGTGATAAATTGTAAAAAATCTATGACGACGTTGTATTTCGTTAGCGACACGTAACGCGGGATTTCCATACGGCTTACGTGCGGTTTTTAAGAACCGTCCCCGCGGGACAATAACGCGTACGGGAACACGAGTTCGTCAACGAAAACGTGCCTTAAACGGTTTTACTCGTCCGGAGTGCGGTTGTTAATTTATCGACCCCAAGCCGCGCAATAATATCGAAATATTTATTACAATATTATAATTTATACATTTTACATGCTGCGCTCGTTTCGCATACAAAATATATATACGACGCAACAATATCATTATTACGAAGCGGTTTTGTACGTATCAGCAGCGCGACCGAAACTTTTCCGAACTCGCTCCATAGACTTAACGTAACGCAAAATCGTTAATATTGTTCCCCCACATCGATTAAATGAAATTTGTTCTTGTGTATAGTTGTAGGTGTTAATAAATATAAACGGCAGGGTCCAAAGGGAGTGTAGGAGATGTTCAGAGTCGGATACCCTCTCCTGGTCGCAACACTAATTCGTATATTATGATACCTATTCGAATGTTTACGTCAAACACTTTCAAACTTTGCGCTTATTTATATTCTTGGTGCGTGGCGAAGAAACTATGAATTATCGTTTTACAAAGATGTATGTTTTTTTCCACCGGAAAACCGTTTTTTTCGTTATGTAAACATTTTTTCGGTTAAGTGAGAATTTACACCCGACTGCGAAACTTAATTTTACCGAAAATTCTCTTTCGTACTAGGTCATTCAAACCCTATTATTTTGTTCTCGGTTATAAATACCGCTCTCAAAATGTTTAACACAGTATACCTGCTTAAGTGATGCGAAATTTCTGACCGGTGCGGTGGCACTTTACTTGGAACAGAAAATCCAGTTTTTTTTTTTAAATTACATTTTTTTCTTCTTCTTCGTGTTCAGTGAAAAATATTCATAATTTCAACCGAATCGACCATTAACGATTTTTCAAAATGCATAGCACATCTTATAATTAGTGTTTCTCGTGTTTGCTGTTATACAGTATAGTTCAGCAGCCGTTAGATCTTTAGCCGTCTTGAGCGTTGCCCGGGGTGCACTACGTAGAAGCGATTTAACGTTGTAAAATTCGAAGTCAAATTAAATCAATACCTTAATACCGGGGCACAGTATTAGATAGAAAATAAACGTGTAATGAACACTTAACCGGGCTAACTGCAAAAATTAGAACTCATTGTAGCATAATCAACAAACTAGCCAGTTCATCACGGGGTTCTGTTGCAAGCACGCTATGTACAAGTGCACTCTCCGTAATTTTGTCAACAGCGCATTATTGTCCTTAGTCTCGCCTTATACTCTACAGCATTGATTCCCAATCTGCGGGGGCTGAATGCATTACCGGGGAGGCTCAGACGGTATTTATAGGTAACATTTCTATGGTAAAATGTATTTATTAAATTATTTTTATTTTATTATATTATTTATACCCGTATTTTATATTTGTTATTGTTATTATTAATAAAGTAACGAGTGAAAAAAAACACATAAATTCAATTTAGAAGGGGAGTTTTCAACGATTTATTTTTTGAAAATCTACAAGGGGGGCGTAGAATGAAAATGATTGGGAACCGCTGCTCCGACGAGGCCGACTCTGCGTGGATTATTCGAGTGGCGTTTCGAATAAGACAAATGGTTTTTATTGTCATTATACAAAATATTGTTACGGACTTATAGGTACGTATAGGCAGTCTAATGTATTCTAAGCTCTGTCGCTGCGGGAGGGGTACAGTGCTGAAACAATAAACCGGGAATCCGATGCGGTCTTTTGGCACGTTCGCGGCCTCCTGTCGAACGCGAACACCGACCACTTGTTACGCGGGCGTGTTATTTCCGTTTAGGATTCAGTCACGTTCGGCCCATGATTTCACGATCGCTCGAAACGCCGAACCCGTCCTCCGGTATTAACGGCGCAACGAGCGTTAACGGCGTTATTAATTGTTCTTGTGACGCACCGGCCGAAAACGTCGTGTTGTAATTACGATTTGTTAATATGACAGTAATACGGATATTGCGAGTGTTCCGGTCCGAGATCGCAATAGTATTTCGACCGTCGCAAACATTATTACTCGTCGGGTCAGGGAGGGAGGGGGGGGGAGGGCCCTTAATAACATTGTATTCTCCGAGCTCGCTCCGGCATCACGGTTTACTCCGAAATTTCGCTCGCCGTCTCACCGATAACGATAGTGTAACGCGACCACGCGACCGTAATGCGCAGTCGCGTTTAACGGTTCGACCGCAGACTAATCCCGTCCGGATTCTTTGTGCGGATCGCCGCCGCGGAACATTCTGATCGACGGGATCGCGATAGCTGACACGGCTAGACTGTTTCAGACAACCGACTTCTATTCGCGGAGGATATTAATTATTATACTTCCCGGGAACAATAATCCTGCCGCAACAGCACAACCCGACGGCGGGAAACTCGCACGCGCGCGCCGGGAACAAAGTTTCGCCAAAACTTTGATTGCAATTTAAATTATCATTATTATTATTATTATTATTATTATTATCATCATCGTCATCGAGCGAAAATGATGGTGACGGCGCCGGTGACGACGATGACGGCACACGGTTCGCGCAGTCAAGAATGATCAGATTGTACATTATAGGTACCGATAGAAATCGCCCGCGAAACAACAATACGTCTTGCACGTTATAGTTAGGCGGGCAGGCAGGTACACATTGCTCGACACCTTGCTCGAATGGTTTTCCCTAACGCGCATCAATTCGATAGTATCATAATAACGCGACGGTCCGTTCGATTGTTCGGTTCGTTCGGTATTAATGTCCCCGAAACATCAATAGGCCGTGCCATTGCGAATCGAAACAAACAAATACGCGAGCACGATATTTTACTCGGGTGCGATTCGTCTCGACACGGTTCGCGCGACTCGACGACGATACACAATTATAATTATATCACTAGGTATACTGTATGTTATCTGTATGATAAACTTTTTATCTCTCTGAGGATGATTACTACTTCGCACAGAACGATAAATTAACGCGGACGCAGATCCAGAAGGAAATAATTTAATTTATTTGCAGCGATATAGCTGTTTTTATTACGATTTTAATAAAATATTTGGATTTCGAAAAACACAACACAATATAATTATAATGCAAATTGTAAATTGCACAATGCTTTTCGAGTGATGTAATGTGTTTGAAACTCATCGTGTCGACCGAAACGGATTTTATGTAAAATAAACGAAACGAATAATTCGATTAAAAACGCCCGAAAACATCTCTGAGGAATTGTATTTAACAGAGAAAAGTGTTTGCAGACGACGACGGATACCTAACTGCAATAATAACAAATTACAAGAGTTATAATATTATTTTAACTCGCGCGCTAGGCAGACGCATACTCGTTTCGTAGTTTCCGTCGTGGTACCTAAACATTATATTATTTATAATGTTATCATTCCGAAGAAAATTAGGACTGAAAACCGCGTATTTTTCGGGGTATAATTTTCTTCCGATATTTTCTCGTTGTATACAGAGTCCATGTAAATGAAAATCCCTCCTAAACCGGTTACCACTAACCTGGTTAGCGCGCGTGGAAACAGGTTAATTATTGTTAGGGAATCGATTATTCTTTAAGGAAAATTTCCCTGGTCCTATCTTCGCTTTAAGTTTTTCAGGGAATACTTTTCTTTATCACGTAGTCAGTTCAATTATAGCCATCAGTTCCGTTGGTAGGGAATTAGATTTTTAATATTTAGGAATAAATCCTTGAAAAAATAATTTAAAAATGTAATGAGGGTGGGAATGGCTCTAAGAATTGAACAAATATGAAAAAAAAAATTAAGTAGGTGGTAGAACGCAGGGAAATTATTCGTCGTCGTCATAAAATAGTGTGAATATATGACATTAAAATTTACTCACATCGAACGGCCCTTTGATTAGAGGTCCAGCTTGGCCTATGTATAGAATAGAAGCCGAGTCGAACAGTAACTCCATCGGATCCCGGATAACCTCCACGGACTGTGGGTCCAGGCATCGGCCGAACAACTGCACGTTTTTCCGGGTCACTTTGAGACCTAGACGATAATACTTACGGACCTTCCACGGTATCGAGAACGTGGCTAGCACGTTGGACGACGACGACGAGTACTTGTTTACGTCCGTGTATAAGAAGCTCACGTTCAGCCGGTTTGCGGATGACGGGACCGTCTGCACGCCCAGTTGCACCACCTGCGAGAGACCAGGGGCACAGTTATAAAAAAAAAATATGAATAAAAATAAATAGATGGAAAGTGAGTAGTCCACCGTAGGTGGACTAAACGTATTCTGTTATGACATATATTTTTATACTTTAAATTACTATTTGCCTTAACCATTAAATATATCTGGATACACCACGTTAAGTGTCTCACCTTCTGGGGCCACCACGAATAATTTTCTGTTTCTCGTGACATGTGACAGAGCCACGTATAATTGACCATGGAAAAACATTAAACGGTTAGGTCTAAACCTGCGAAATTTAATGTTTGACATTGTGCCTTATTGATGGTCATTGAAAAACATAGTTCCACGGAAAATTGGAACCGTTTATACTAGAAAGGTAGATTGGTTGATATCATAGGTATTCTAGGAACCAAAACCGTTTTCGCAATTCCACAGCTAGTTAAAATCAAACACACAATCAGACAATTTTTTTGAAGATTTAATTTGCAACCTGGTGCCGTTACATAATTTTGGTGGACATAAGTTCTGGAGTAATGTTATAAGTGAACCTACCTTTAAAATGAATTTATGTGGTGGAATCCCTGGGGGGGTTAAAGAATTTAAAAATTCAGTTGGACAATGTACCGCCTCCTTTCTATCAATAACAATGTCAACTGAATAATACATTTTTTTTTGGTGCATTTGGTACAGTACCATGTCATTTATTTTATTGACTTGCTCGTTAGTTGATGACAATATTGTTCTTTCCTAAACTAACTCAAGGCCTTAGTAGAAATGTTAGATATTTTTGAGTAAACATAAAGTCTATAGTCTCGATCAGCAGAAGTTTCATCACTATGTACTAAGCGTACTCTTTTAGCATTTTATTTTCCGTATTGCGTCCTATATTAGATCTTTGTTTAAGCATGATTAAAACGCAAACAATTTTTATAGACAGTTTACAGTTTTATGACATAATATGGCGCATAGATTTTTATTATATTAATTAACATAGATACCATAGATATGTTTTGATCAATCTTTTAATTTTTTTTTTTATTCATTTCACCCGTGTTACTAAGGTAATACAAATAAATAAATAATAATAATAATAATACCTAAAACCTAATTTTGGGGAATGTTTTTCAAGAGATGGATCTCAATAGCTATAAACCGTCCCTAAGACTTGTCCGACCCATTAGTGTAAACCACATCAAAATCTATTCAGTCTTTTTGGAGTTTATCCTGGATAAAAAAAAAAAAAAACGATTTTATGAAGTATTGTATAAAATCTGCATTTTATAATATATACTAATTGATATTCATAATTTAACGCTTATAGTTTCACAATATTTAGAGCAATGGCATAACACATTATATAACATATAATAAATATAATTAATCAAATATTGTTACATAAAACTGATTACGGATGAAAAATATTCTGAGCGAAATTCGGTTAACCATGATTAATCATAAACGTTTGATGAACGAACATTTAAAATTGTATTAATTTAGGTCGAATAGTATATTAATAGTTGTTTGTGTTTTTTTGCCAAACAAATATTTATCCATATAAATAGGAATATAGACGCGAAATTTCGTTTTTTTAGAATCAAAACGTAGCGAGGGAACTATTGGTTTTACTATAATGTTTATTTTTTTTTATTTGTTTTTTCTAGTCTGTGGACACGTTTCGTACTGGTAAACTTGTTTCGATATTTATGAATCACCGTTTTTATAAAAGCTCAAGTTGCCTTGATTGTACTTTAAAGATGTCATTTTTTTGTCTACGCTTTTTTTTAAATAAAAGCACTTAAATGGGAAAAAAACATAAGAAAACGTACAATTTTACGATTCCATTATTTTATAAGAACACGGACGATGTTTTCTAACAGAAAAAATGATTTAATTGAAAAATCACAAAACACCTTTTTTTGTTTTACTTTTACCTTTTTATTTTGAGTTTTAAAACTTTAGTGCCACTTTCGTCTTTTAAGGAATTTTAATTTTTGGGAATTATTTTGCTGTAATTCGGTTATAAATACGCGTAAATAATTGAAACTCGGTAATAATACTGATATTGGACTTACCTAAGCGTGGTGAAAATTTCAAAATCATTAAACGAATTTTTTTTTTTTTTAAAAAGTCTTTAGAATTCAAATATAAACGAAAGTCACGAAAAAAATTACAGCACTATAAATCATGTGTTACCGAACTACGCTTAGAACCGTCATTCGTCAAGCAATGGTTTATCGTTGTTTACAGATATAAATGAAATAACCTTATGTATCCTACCTTCCCAAATTATCACCTACAACAGTGGTTGCTCCCATTTCCAGTATCAACTCTTTTTTTTTTCTTTACAATTTTCATAAAAATGTTAACTTAAAATGCTTAAAAAGAACTGTAACTACTGATTATCGCCATTATAGTGGCATAAGAGCAGATTATAATGAATCTCGGTCAAATTTCCGAGAATTATTGAGAGCCCAAAAAAATGTATCTACGGGGTTTCAGGCTCAGGGAAGAACAATAAAAATTAGTACCTATATTTTTTGGAATAAAACAAGAAAAAATCATATTATATACTACCCTTTGTTGGATCTGGCACTGAGGTGATTTATGTTAAGCCTTCTAGCAATTAGGCCGTTGATTATGCTAGCGAGCAATTTTCCCTATTGAATTTAATTGTATCGAAAATTATACAAAATTTACTTCTTTCCTAAGACCAAACATACACGAGTGGAGTAATAAAAGATAAGCATTGATTTTGCTAGGTGTGCGGTAACTGAATTCAATATTATACCAAGTGAACGGGTACGAAATTATACACAAATTTAAGGTTTACCATTTTTTCGTTATAATTATTTAAAAAAAAAAAAATTGTCTATCGAACGATTAAATTGCTATTTTACTGCGAACGAATCGCACAGAGGTATTTGACAGTTATTTTCGTAGTAATTATTTTTTTTCTGAGAATTAAAATGGTAATGTTTTCGAGGCACACTGTGTACGTTTTGAGAGCGACGAATGTAAATAGTATTTATTCCATATATTTTTTTTTTTTTCATACAATTTAATTTGTACGCGATCGATTGGTTCAAAACTGGTTAAACACACAAAAAGGCTGACTGATTCTAAGGATCCGAAAACATTATGTGGCGTACAATAATATTCTGATCACGTATAAAACGTTAAAATAAATTTGTTTTTGGATTTTTTTTTTTTTTTTATTTGCGATTGGTGAAATTAATATATGCGCGTCCATGATATGTATTACAATATGAGTTTCCAAAAACATATGTATAAATATATACGCGTAGTGTGCACACTATTTCTTTGAACAGTGCGTCATTTACGTGTTTGACACGCTCTACCAAATATTACCGAATGATGATGTGTTGTATACATGATCGGGACGGTTTTTCTTTTTTTTCAATCCGGATTTTCAAATAATTATAATGCGCGAAATCGATTATTTCGTCCGCATTGTATTAAAACTATTTTCGTCCGTCCCGTTACTGGTTTTAAATAACGTTTTTTCGTTACTTTCCCGCGTATAGGTACTATGTGTATTCTACATTATTTTCCAATTACTTTTTTGTCGGTTCGTTTTTTTTTTCTTCTTTAATTTTCATTATATACTTACTTATGTATCATTATTTTTAAATAGATTATACAATTATTTATGCATCATATATTTTATTCGTTATGCGCCGCCGTTTATATAAATCGTTCGTAATCAGAAAACCGTTTTTCCGTACGATTTTCGCAAATTGTTAATTTCATAGCTCGTTTATTTTTTCGTCTCCTAAAACACATTATTTTATATTCCGATCGTCGCTTCTTTCAAAATTATGTTTTAATATTTTATAATAAAGCTGACAAATGAAATACCGGTTACTATTAATATATTTTGAACGCCTATAAACTATATAATATATAAGGTTCATTTCGAGTTTATTTTTTTTTTTTTATGGAATTTTCTAATTTAAATGTACATTTTTGGTTTTGTGAAGTTTCAAAAGATTTTATGTACCAAGTTCAACGAGCAAAAATAAGAAAGTGCAAGGAACTCGAATTGCTGTATCTTCACATCGTAGAACCCATCATCAGAAGTATGAGATTACAACTGGCAGAGCACGCCAGGAAAAGTCAACTCCCGTTACTTCATATATTGCTGGATAAGTTCCCGACGTAGTTAAGAACCCTTGGAAGACTGGGGATAAGAGGGCAACAGATGTGGTAGTCAAAAAATACAGAATATCCCATGGAGATCTGATAAATGCAAATACATCAGCCCTGTTCAATATTTTTCAAGTTTTTCATTTTTGGAATAATCACTACAAGTCTTGTACTATAATTATTACATTTAATATTTTTTTAAAAAACCTTAAAAACAAAAATTTAAATTTGTTTACAAAATCCAAGGCCTTTCTATAAATTTCTTTTGAAACACATATTTGGTGTTATAAGTGTTTATTAGATAATGAGTTTTTAAATGTCTGCAATTATTTTTATTTCCATTATTAAACTATATAAATTGATTTACAAATTTGTCAATAAAAATAATTTCGTTTACAATTTTTTTAAACTTCCAAAAATTGTAGAAAATTAACGAATCGTCATTATTAAAAATGTGTAATATTAAAATTTTTTTTTTTAAATAAATTTATAGTGTATCGTGGGTTCTGTACAAAATGTTAATGTTTTATTTATGGTTCAACAAAATATAAAATACAAGAATCATAGCGTAATACTCTAGTAATTTTATACATAAATTTCAAAAAAAGCCAAAATATTGAAGAAAAAAATAAAAATTACTGTATTTGTCAAAATCTCAGTGAGGAACTCTGTATATGGAGAAACTAGGAAGAGGATAGAAATATGAAATTGGAGGTTTGGATGTTTGGAGTGACATCGGTGTCATAAAGAAGAAAAGTAGTAAGTGTTCTAGCATTGTATTTGTCTATATTTTTAAGTGCAGTTCAATAAAATTACACTTGATTTTTTTAAATAAGTATCAGTGAGTTACAGTAAAATTATATTATAACTTAAAGTTTTTATCACCAAATAAATAATAAAAAAAATAAATATTCAAAACAAAATTATGAATTTATTTTAAATATATTCGTATAAATATTCTCTTTCCTTTTACCAAAAACTTAATAAAGTTACTCCGTACAGCTTCTAATTATAATAATTAAGAATTTAAAAAAAAACGCTATAAACTTTAATTACTTTCCCATAAATATTTAATATTACCTGTGAGTCTCAAAGCACCCAGTTTTGTTTAAATTCGATTAATATTTTACAAAACGTTTCAAATAATATTTGATTTTTCATTTGCGTTAACATTAATATTATACAGACTGCAATATTATGATTTGTAAAAGATAAAATCTATTCATTCCTAAACAAATGAGCAGCTATATTATACTAGTAGTTGATTTTGTTTTACGACACCTGCAGAACTCTGCAGATCCGGTATGACGCCTGCACCCGGTGAAATTATAACGTTATGTACATAAATACGACCTATACAGTTATTTTATTGTTTGAAAAAAAAAAGTACAAAAAAGCGTTTTAAATAACATTTTTCCTTAAGTACTCACGTTTTCCGAAGGATTGACGACGGCGAACAGAAATCCACCGGTTGTGGAATTCAGTTTGAAATTGACCACGATAGAGAATTCCGGATACAATTTTTCCGGCAGAAACAACCGATACGGCGATTTAATATCGGATCCTGGTTTAATTCCGAACGCCGGAAAACCGTCGTCCCCTTTATCAAAATACAACTGTGGGTCCTCGAACGGAACTTTAATGGCTTCTTGAAGATCGTGTTCATCTGTACATACACAAAAAAAACAATAAAAAGTCACAATACAAATATATTATTATAATTATGACGAATCAGCTTATATGATTGTAAAATCATCGTTATGGACATATTTAAAAAGGTGATTGGGTGATTGGGGGGGGGGTTTCCACGGGCTGTAAATCTTAAAGTTTATATTTATTTATAATATTTTGTTGATAAAAAAAAATATTTTACAAGTTATTACATTTTTGTTAACACTACGACACAGAAAAGTATTATGGTTTGAGATATGACCTGGTGGTTAAAATAAATGAAATTTCGTACTGCACTGTTTTATGTCCCTTTCGAATACTTATAACCAAGAAAAATGTCATAACCAGTTTGTTTATACCTGGGAATCCATCTGCGCCCCTTCATAATAATCAGAAAACGATTTGTTTATTGGCCAAAATAAAATTGTAATTGGCAATTGCCACCCTTTCTCTGTATAGAAACCTCGCCTAGAAATAAAGTATAACTTTAAAAAGAAAAAAAAATTGTATTTGATAAATTCCTGGATAAAATATTAACATTGAATTATAACGTACAATAATAATTAAACTGTATTTTTCCAAATTCAATAATATTTGAACTGAGTAAATTATATTTCTTTTATCTGTTTTTTACAAATTCATTGCTGAAGAAATTTGAGTTGGGATTCGGGAAAGCTTTTTATTTTTTACCTGAGAAGTAAAATATCCCAATATGATTATAGTTCTCTGATTAAGGTGTAATAATAGAATTTGGAATCTCTAAAAAGTATTAAATTTATTATTTTTTTGAAAATTCACAAACTAAAAGAAAAAAAATGTTAAGATAACGTTATAGTTTACTGTATTCGTGGACAGACTGTATAATATACCTAATGCTAAAAAAACTACTTGGTAAGACATTGCGTTATGAGAATGCCATGAATTTTTTTCAAATACTAAGATATTTAGGTACTAGGCACTGTTTTATTTGTATTTGTGTATGGAAAATATAATCTTGATTAATAACTTGACAAAAACGCATAGTTATCTATAAATTACGATAACATGCTGACGTACGATTGATTCTATGACGGATAATACAAATATACGCTGCATACAAATTTCATGTCTAAAAAAAAAAAAAAAAACGAATTGAAAATAAATATTTATTTCAAGTTAGGGCTTTAAGAACAATTTATGTTTTATTAAAATAATAAACGAGGAAAAATATTAGAAGAAATAAGCGAAGTATCAACGAAAATATTATGTGATGTCATCAAAACAACCGTGATCAACCGATACCCAAAATATTATCCCTTCTATCCGAACCAGAGATTGGCTATAAATTATGATCCAAAACTGTGACTACAGAGCAATAGGCTGCGGCGCCTTCGACGGACGGTAGATAATAAATAGTCGACCATTCCGAAAACGGACCTACGAAGGTTTGTTTGAAACGTCGACATTTTGTCAAAACGATTTTGGAATCAAAGAAACGGAAAAAATATAATATTGAAAATAGCCCGGAAACCAAACGGAATATTATAATATAATTAACTAAAAAAATTGAGCGTTGGCTCGTCACTCTTTTGCTCGCTAAGAACTCGTTATAGAAGAGGCAAAAAAAAAAAAAGAACATTCGGGAATATTATTAGTTTCAGACTAATATTGGAAACTGTTTTAGAAATTTGATAAATTTCTTAATTTTCGACGGAAATAATATGCACCCGAAACAACATTACGGCTCGTTTGCTCTCTGACAAATGTTCTTCGTGAAAAACAGACAGTTTTTCTCTAGAAGATAAATATAAGTACCTACCTACCGCACACGAAAAAAAAAAAACATTTTTAAACGTCAATAATACACTATATCTATCGTTTGACAGAATATTATTTGTGGAAAAAAAAACTCGAAAAAAAAAAGCTGATACTGACGGGAGCGGGAGCCATTTTTATAGGTTGATAGGTGAGAAGGTGGGAATACATAAAGTTATTTAATTTTTAAAAGAAAAAGAAAACATAAACACATCGTAGTAAACCCAAAATATCACACGCTATTCGTCGAATCTATAAAACTACAGGTTTACAAAACTCAATGAACACTCGTCTATACAGATCGTGAAATTTTACGGTCACGCAGTAATATAATTATTATAAGGCGTCAACATTTAAATAATTTTATTGCGGGGCTTAAAAAGTAGGTGAAGGTAGATAAGGGCAACTATATCAACAATACAATTTTGAAAGAAATATGATTAAATTTCCGAGTCCCGTGAAGTCTACCCGAGGACTCCGCAAAACCATCAGCGTGGCACTAAACATGTATACAACTATCTATAATATTTTTTTAATATTTCTACGGTAGGTACACTTTGAAAAACCTTTTTTCTTGAAAAATATTGGCCGTCGACGCGCGTAGAATAAATAAACCGTTAAAAGGATGTTCCGCAGTCACATTAATAGTAAAGCTTTGAAATAAGTGGGTGGGGCGAGAAATTCAATAATTTAAAATGTATTGGCATACGAAGACCATTTCGATTATAGGTAGAAAAAAACCACCACCACCAGCAGAGTTCCGTCGTAATAGAATAAATTCCTCCGCCTCCTTTATTTTGTATCATATTATAGAAATACAGTGGATTCCGCTTAATGTGGCTACCGGTTAATGCGAGCAGCCACTTAATATGGACATAATGGTCTGGTTCCGAAACAATTATTTAAAAGCGGGAAAATAAAGAAAATAGCAAAATAAAATTTTATTCAAATTCTAAATATTATTATGACAAGATATAATATCCATTGCAAATGTTTTACGATATTTAAAAATAAAAGGTTACAGATGTCCAGAAATTATGTCCATGAAATTATAAAGATGATTCTTCTGCATCGAAATGTTGAAATTTATATTGGAATTCAACCCGACTTTTTACTACTTTAATCTGCCTGCAAAATGAAAATAATTTCCAATTTTGTGTTCATTTTGTCTAGAAAAAGCTGCTGAAAGTATTTAAAAATAAATAACGAGAAAATATAAAAATAAACAAAACAATAGGTAAACGGTGCAATAGCTTCTAATTTTTGGCGAAAATTATATGAAAATCGCCAATTTAATGTGTAAATGCTGCCGTCTTTATCCGGTACACTCCATAACTTAATTTATTATAATAATAGTATAGGAGGAAAAAGTATATTGACAAAAAAACACACTTCGAGAACAAAGATCGAAAAGTTTACCGAGTAAAACAATAAGAAATATATACGTCGCGGTCGTTTTAAGAGATCACCGTTTTTATATTTTTTTTAGTTGATTAGTTTAAATTCTTTGGTAACATACAAAGTTTATTTTTCATGCTTTCTCTTCGTACACTTTTGTGTATTATTTTTGTCTTTTGCAATGGGTACCAATAAAACGATACAACATTAAAAGCGTTCAAGTGCCTTTAAATTGCATTTGCCGGTCTTTGGAGTACAAATATTTTTTTCGTTTTTACTATCGAGAGTGTTTAACATCGTTCAAACGTAAATATTGTTTTTTATTTTTTTTTTTAAATTATCCATGAACATTTAATTTTTTTCCACGAGACCAACCATCTGTGGAATTTCACATTTTGCATACTATTCTTCGATTAACTTATATTTTTTTTTTCTAACTGGTAGGAAAAAAAATTGTATACAATTCACATTTGTCCGTTTGTTTTTAATTTGGAGTTCAAATTTTGTCAAAACTCATAAAAATTACGAAAAACTATCGTAAATATGATTTCGCATATTTAAAAAATAATTTGATTTCAATTATTTTAATTTTATTCATAAAATGACCACTACGGATACGGTTTCACTTAGAAAGAAAAGTGTAATGTCATTACATTTTTTTTAAAAAGGTAATGAATCACCTGAGCGATTAATCGATACCTATCGATGTTTAAAAACTCAATTGATAATTTCGATGGTTACTATATCGATTAGTCAGACATTTCGATAGTATCGATACTTGATTATGGGTTATTGACGAAATTGATGACTTTTTTTATTTTGTCTATTACCGTTATTTTTTCATCATGTTCGTGGCCAAGAGCAAAACCTACTTGAATGCCTAGAGTACATGTAGGTGTGAATACATCTTTTCTGTAAAGGATTTTGTGTAGGCATATCAAAAGATCATTGACGTAACACAACACTTAGCGAGGATTGTATGATAAACAATCCAATAACTATGACATTGCCGGAACACTACCGCGATTATATAAATTTCTTTTTTTATTATTGTGTTATTATTTTGAATTTATTATTATGTCAAATGAATATGTGATGATTCGCCTGCCACGGAAACTATACTTTTATAACAGCGTATATAATTTTAAGCTTTGTTTTTGATTTTAAAGTTTTTTTATTTTTTTTTTTTTTTGTATAAAAACGTATTGTTCCCTTCTAACGGCTCTAACTTATTAAATAAAATGTCCTAATATTACAAAAGCCGTCGGAAAATAGATTTTCAAAACCTCTATATAATTTTCGTTTTTTTTTTTTTAGATACCCTATTTTTTAAGAGCTTAATGCTTTTTAAGTCTTCATTCTTGTTGATTTAAGGCCTTGGATTCGAGAAATTATTAATAATAATAATTTCAATTATTTTATTATTGAACAGTAGGTATACCTAACTGCCCGATTCCGTTCAACATAAATACCTAATAATATTATGTTTGGCGATAATCGCTGCTGTCCTTCGACGGCTGATGGATAAGTGCGAATCACTTGTGCCCGTAGGTACAGTGACACGTCAAATAATATTTTCTTGAGTCTATATACACGTAATATTATAATAGTAATCCGGACAAAGTTTTCTGCAAAATAAACACTGCGTCGAATAAAACGGTGGCGGCGGCGGCGGCGGTGTTTCTCGCGATTCGGCGGGTTCGTTAAGCGCAATGCGGTTTAGCGCGAGGGACGGCCGACGAGACCGGCTCGAGGATTTCACGTCGCAAGTGACCCGAAAGCGTTTTAACACGTTGTTTGCGTTGTTTCCTTATATACACGGATCACATACCTATACTTACACGAGTGCAAGACGTCTGTAAAATAGAGTTTGCACACGTCTTGCCGGGGAGGGGGCATCTTGCAATTGGTGACGGGAAGGGATGGGAGGGTTGTCTCGTACCCCAATGAAAACATCGGTCGGCAGTCGGCAGTTGCAGACTCATCGTTTCGTTATTATAATTTATTATCCGAGTACATAATTACCTACTTGATATTATCTCAAGTGTTTTACAATTAAAATACTTTACATTTACATTTTATAGGTATTTAAATTTTTAAGGTATGCCATTTAATCATAGCCAACAGAAAAATAGACGACCTGCTCGGCCTTAGAAATTATTCCGCTGCCCACCGCGCTCCGGGTGACTAATTTATAAAACAATAGATAAAACGTATTTTAGCACGTGTCGTTCTAAATATTGAATATGGGACACAAATATCTTTCTTATGCGCAACACAAAATATTATAATCATCGTTAGCGCTCTTGGTGTTTGGATTCCCCAGAGGAACCGATGTTTTGTACAAACTTGCATCTAATATTCAAGCCTTCCAGAGATTGACGGATTAAAAATTAATTTTATTCGACATTTTATATATATAAATAACCATGTTATAATAATTCAATATAGTATAAGTATAATAGAATTTTCTTATGCCACGAGATATTTGGTTCTAAATTATTTAGTCATTTTGTTATTTTTTTTTTTTTTTGGGGGGGGGTTCCTTAGTCGGTGAAAATATGTTGGCCTTACAATAATATTACAGGGCACCATAATGACTTATTTTAAAATTGTTGCAAATATTTTAATCGTGTCCAAATAATAAAATATTAATTTATAATTTTTTTTCCTTTTTAAATATTTGATAAACTAAAAAAAAAATCACGACTGGAAACAACCTCATTATAATCGCGCAATTTTGAGACCTTCCGAGACGCACGCCGTTCCGGTATACTCTGCAATCAGGAAATTGTCTTTTTATCGATCACCGCTTTCTGATGGTTTTTTTTTATTTTTATAAATAATTACTTTATCTGCACAATATCGGTAAAAATAGACTCGCGCAGTCTTAAGTTAAAGAATATAGAACGTATTATAAAAACAAATGTACATACTTCGCACTGTTGTAGATGAGATAGAGGGAAACGATAAATGATCGCTAACGAAATATGATTCTGCACGAAGTTCAGTTAAACAGTAAACATGTTTCAAAATGCAGTAATTTTATATATAAATACATAATTAGTAATTATAAATAGTAATTTATATATAAATACAATGTAATATAATTAAACACAGAGTTATTTAAATTTTAAAATAAAGTCAAATTTTCGATAAAATTCATCTTTGTTTACAAAAAAATAGCTAATTTATGTAAAAATTCCAGCATTTTTATTCTGCCTAACAGTTTAAATTCACATTAAGCCAAATAAAACAAAAATGACGAAATAATGGTTTGAAAAATTGACCACGTCTAGAAAAGACTAATGCATGTATTCTGTGAGAATTACAGATCTCTATGATTATTATCAACCAAATTTTTATATTTTGAGATAAAAAATTTAGAATGTATGCAATGGTTATCAAAAACAAGTTTGGCCTAGTTTTACTATGCTAAAATACGAACGATAGACAAATATTATTGAAACTTACGAACTTTACCACGGGTTTCAATATAATGTTTTGATATTGTAACTATTAATTATTGTAACGACCGCTTGTTATATTATATAAATCGACTTTGACGGGGGTTCCGTGGCAAATCAAACGGACCGTGCTGAAATTCGTTATTAGAAATCGTTATTCGTATTAAACCGTCTAGCGGTGATGTTATAACATCCGCAACCTAATACTTTATAGCCCACAGAATGAAACCAATAGTGGTATAAAGTGTGGGCACGGTCCCTGTGCGGACAGATCTGGTAATCGTTTTGATAGCACTCGACTAGTGGGCGATGTAATATGAATTGAAATACAGATACACGCGCCGTGTTTGTCTTTTGATGTCCGAACAAGATAATTTAATAATATCCGCAGCTATTGGTCGATAGTGAAAGTACAGGATTTTTCGTGACAGGTATCTATCATTTGGAGAGCTCATTTTTAGAAACAAAAATGAGAAGTTCGGTCGTTCTGGTGCAATAAACCGGGCAGCTCTGATTTTTGGTGAAATTCGCATTTTATTGTATGATTTTTGATAGAAAAAAAAAATTATAATAATTACAATCATAATTCATGAATTTTCCGCGTTGTGACAAGTTAAATCCGATTATCTGTATTAAGAATAACACGATTGGACAAAATGACTTAATTTGAATTAATTTTCGATTATTCTCAATATGTTTTGTTTTGTTTTTTTTTTTTTTCTACACTTTTTCGATTAATAAAATGGTCCAATTTATTCTTTTATTACTTTATTAAATATTTGACATTTTTCACCCAGCTGTATTTAAAAATGTTGCTTTATTCCTAATGATTCCTCTAAAAATGTAAAGAACTAAAAACAAAAGAGAAGATATTTTCTATTACTCAAGGATATAAGGTTAGAAAATACTAATTTTCCCCCATAACTTTATCAGTTTATCGAGTTCTACTCAAAGTCGTATTTTGATTGCTATAATTTATCGTTACTTTTAGTTACACGCGTGTAGCATATATCATCTAGATATTTTATTTCATAAATACTCATGTTTTACGAAAATCAAAGTGAAGAGGTAAATTGCCTAGTTAAAAAAAAATAGATTTGTAGCTATTTCTTGACTTGAAATTGATATCCATGACATATTTTACAATTTTAACGTTTTCTTTGGTAAACCTATTTAATATGTTATTATTTTATAGATCTACATAGATCTGCATATGCATCTAGATATGCATCTATGGCATGCGATAAATCTATTTCAACATAAATTATTGACAAGTCGGTGATCCTATTATTGGTTATTCTGTAATCGCCTCATAGATGAGGATGAGAGTTCTTACGACGCACAATTGCAGGACTTGTTGATATGGTCAATACTACATTGAAAAGTTTGTAAACATTTAGAAAAACATCGTCGTCTACAATTATAGGTATAATATCTTCAATTTAAAAATATTATTTATTTAGTTGCCACTTTTTTTTTTACGATCAGCATTTCAGGCATAAGGTTATCTGGACTTACATTCAGTATTTTATAGAAAATCAAAATCAATTTTGAATCCCGGCATAATTTTTAAACTATTCATAGGTACCTCATACTAATTATTAAACTGGGTATTTCATTAATATTTTAATTTTATAAAATTATCAGTTCGAGGTATCATAATATATGATGGTTACCCCCTGTAAACACAACCATCGCGTGACTGTAAAATGTTATTCCGATTCGGCAATGGCAGTATTACCCGATGGCGCTGCGGCGGTTTCGTTATTTAGCCGAATCGTTTGAAACGCGTAGGTGTTTGTTTCTATCGAACAACATGCAATATTATTATAATATGACAACAACGGACATACAGTATTATCATATTATCATGTTATAATATCCCTGATTTGCATCATTCACTAACGTAAATATTATTTCAGTGCACCATTAGTAATTTTCCAATCATAATAACTATCCATCGCATCATTCAGCTCGTCGTCGTTTACTCTTCAAACAGATAATGACCTGAACATTTTCGCAGATCAATAGCTATTACGAGTAGATAGCTCTATTCTTCGTCATCACTTTATCGCTTATAAGAAAACGGTTATTATTTTATAGTAGACGAACAAAATTGATGATTGTGTTAAATAATTTTTCAATAATTTGAATACAAATAATTTAACATTTAATGATAGTAAAATATAGAACGACAGTATATTATGATGTTCGTATAGTGATAGCGGCTATAATTCTTCCAGCCTCACGTTGGTCAATTGCATTTATTATGCGTGCAAGATATTGTACAGTTGTTTTACAATACTTCGACAGTTACTATCACCCTGCTTACAAGTAGATAGTTCATGATAGTAATATTACCGCGGTTGCGAATTTCGCAAATGTCGCAACACAGTAACTATTTTCGTGTGGGTCAAGTGTAACGGATATTTTACGAACATTTTCGTTCAAACCTAAACTAAATAAATAAGCATATCATCATTCTTATCACTGCTCATGTGCCACAGAATTGAAAGAAACGGTAGAATATAATATAACCGTTTATTCTGCACAATAACTGTGATAAAAAAGCCAACCAATTTTAATCAAATCATTTTTTTTTTCTCCGTTGTTCTATTATATATTCCAAGCCAAAGGCACGCTCAATAATATTAATATGTGCCAAACAATTTGTCTAACATACCTATTTATTTAGTCATGGCATAAATAACGAACCACGCCCTTCGAATTTGTTGCCCAGATTTCTTTATATAAATGATAAAATATAGCCCCAGTGACTCCGCTAAAGCGACGTGCCCGAAGTATTAATATATAATACGTACTATGCAATGACCTGGACTCGGTAGGTAGGAACCTAATCATTAGTCAAGCATGTTATCATAACAGAATGTATTATGATGCATTTGTTGTTTTCGAATATACCTCTAAATACGCAATATTATTATTTTAAAAAGATTTGGATCGAAAACGTGTACGGGACACACACTACAATAAAAGTAGGTAAACAGTTTAACTCCTATTATTGTTGTTACCTGGCCGGGAAAGGGCCGACGACTGCAGTTTTATTTATACGAACCGCGGTTAGAGGTTCTCTGCCGTTATTATTGAGTTTATAATCTCATTCCGTATTCCACGTCTGCGGCCCCCGACTTTGGTTCTCGTTGTCCATTCTCTCGTATTGCCTTAAACCGTAAAACTCCACGCGTATATAACTGCAGACCGCATCATGTTACTTATATGAGTAAGTAACACAAACGATGATTCTTCGTCGTCATACATAATACAGATACTGAAATACCAATGCTAGACGCTAGTTATAATTTATAAGTAGAGCTCAAAGTTATAGTGGCTAAAATAAAAAAAAATATGTAAATAAAAACGCAAAACAGTTTTCGCGCAACGAGTATGTTGTAGGTGGGAGGCTCGAATGCATATTGATTTAGTTTATACACCGAAAACAACGATACATCATTGAAAAAACGACTCTGAACAACACTCGTTAAAGTGGTAAGTTTAATTTATGAACCGTGTTTTTCCGCTTATATAGCTTTGTGGACTGGTACCCCAGAAATCAGCAATACTAAAACCAATGTACCCACTGTTTTTCCTAATTTTTAAGAAAAACTGCCGGTGATCTAGCAGAACGTTTCAAATAAATAAGTACTAATGGGCGAAAAATTTGCATCGTCAAAGTACTGTATGAAAAAAAAAGTAAAACCTTCTTAAACAACGGACTCCTTATAAGGCGGGAATTTCCTTAAAACGGAAACCAACATTAGTTCTGCATAACTTATACCCGTATATTTTATTTTCCCTATAACGAAAACTGCTTTATAGCGGACAAATCAGTTATTATCGAGTGACTCCGTTATAAGGAGGTTTTTCTGCATGCAAAAATACGCATACAAATATAATTTGAAAATTTAAGAAATAGAAAAATGATTCCTGGTATTCTAAAACTGACTAAGAAAGAGTTTTACAATTTTTAATTTTTGAACTATCCATTGCAATGTAATTGTGTACGGTAGATTTTCAGCTCGGTTTTCTAGGAATCGAAAGAAAAATATTAGTCATAACGTAAATAGCTCCTAAAACCTACACGAATCCTGGTTACTGTAAGTATTACATTTTCTAAGATTAAAACAAAAAAAGAAAAAAAAACCATTTTCATATACCAATTATACCGTAATAATGAAATTGTTAATGTATTTTAATGGATTGGAAAAAAAACAACTTTTATTTCACTGTAATTACTTTATTCGAGCCTATTGAGGCGTAAATAACAAAAATAATTTCGGGTTTCCAGTGGTGCGGCGTGGTTATAGTTGCTCGGCGGCGGCGATGGCGATAAAATATTATCATTATTTGAATTTTGTAATATGGAAAGTTAAAAAAAATAAATCATTTTTCCATTTCGGTTTTATGAAGATAGTTTGTAAACTCTGGGAACTTTCTGTTTTTTTTTTTTTTTTTTTTTAGATGTTATCACCATGATTACTCAAAAAGCTTATAATAATAAAACATTTTTTTTTAATTTGTACTTAAAAAATAATATTTTTTCTTATAAATATAAAATTATACAATTAATTATTAAATATTTCGCCGAGTGCTATTATGTACCCACATTATGAGTACAGTGACGGCATAACTATTTTATAACTCCACAAGTACTTATAAATGTTTAATAGAGTCGTGTTGTTGTCGAATTTTTCCCAAAAATAGAAAACGATGCAGCCTTCTATGGTCGTATCTGTATTTTTCTTGCTACATTGTTAACATTTTTTCCGGCTCTCTCCGCTGTATGGCCACATGTGCTCGAACTTATAGAATTTAAGTTTTTTTTTATAGGCTGGTTGACGTCATAAAACTGGTCGAATTTCATTATGAAATGAAGTATGTTGTCGCAAAAGACCGGTATTTTTTTAAGCTTTAAACCCGGGACTGTAACCGGACCGAAAACAACCGGTTATGTAACCGGGAACCTTGTGTTAATTATGAACCGGGGCAAAAACTGAAACCGTTTTTTCAAATGTTTAAAAAAACAAACTAAAACCCGAACTTAATTTTTAAAGTTCAATTTTCTTCGGTTATAGCTTTTTATTTAAAAGCAAATGGATGATCGGAAAAATAAATTTGCGCGACGTTGTCGACATTATTTATAACACTATATACTATTTATAATAGAACATTTTACACTATGTACATAGAGAATAAAAGTCATATTACTTTAGCCTACGATATACAACACGTAGCCCATTCGGGCTGTTTTTCAACGTATCAAATGAAGTGAAGTACCCATGCAATCGATAATATAATATTGTAACTGATTATAGTTTGTAGGCTATGTAGCTGTGCAATACTGATACTGATCGACAGCATTCGAAAGTATTCAAACGAAATTATTGGTTAAAGAGAATTTCGAAAATATTTTATAAATATATGGTCTCGATTCACCCGTCACGGTTATGAGACGTAGTTACCAGTAAGTGACTACGAGAGAACGGCTGGAAGGGTAGATCTGGGTATCGCGTCGGTTCTGAGTATTCGTGATCGCGTATTTGCGTCGACTGTAAGTAATAAGTATCGCTCATTATTGGATACCGCGTAATCAAATATTATTATTATGTTCTGCGGTACTGCGTAATAATATTACCTACTGTTATAATTACTGCGATTTGAAAGAGGGGCTTACCCCCAAAGGATACTTAGTTCCATAAAATTACTAATATTTTGATATAATAAACTCATTTTTCAAATTTTGTTACTTACTGCCTTTGGTTTTAGGCGTGCAGACTATAAGGTTTAACTGTATTATAAATAACAAAACAATTTTTTTTTTTTTTTTTGGTTGTATTGATATTGCAAGCAAGAAAAAATTGGTTTTAGGTTTTAAAATTAGTTTCTAAATAATAACATTATTAATACGCACACACGTCGAGTATGGTAAATACGGGCTACGATCAATTCAATTTTAGTTTTTAAAAAATGTATTTGTAACCGACAAAGGTATTGACCGCAACCTTAATTGCATATTTTCTAGACTTGATTAAAATCAAAACCGCAATAATTTGTTTTTCATTAAATACCAAAACGAAACCAAAACCAAAAAAAAAAAACATGACGATTATAACCTCTGTCCTGAACATTCTCCCCCTTTAAAAAATCATATAGGTATACGTCTCTTGTTAGTCTAATAGTTTATTATAACTGACCAGGTTATTGTAAAGTATTTAAATAAAACAATACATCAATAGTTTTAAATTCTGAGTTTAGCGAATGTATTGGTTATTGGTGTACTTTTTCATTATTTTTGTAAATCATTTTTCCATCAGAAATCTTGCTTCAATCAAAATATATACAAATTATTTTTTATTGTGTTTTAGATATTGTCGATTGATGCATTATAAAAGTTGTTTTTTTATTTTCCATGCAGTTTTCGTAAAAAATAAGAAACCTCTGAAAAAACCATAACTACAACTTAAACAATTTACGAAGTTCACGGTTTCAATGATTTACATAGTTTCAATATTGTTTATAGGCTGATAAAAAGTGGTCATTATTATGTGATCGAAATTTGCACGTCCATTTCATAACCTCAGGCGACAATTTTATACCGCAACTAGTGCTTGATTTAGACACCAGGTCACAATTTACGTATGTGCCGTATTATAATTAATATGAAACGGGTTGCAACATTTCCGTTGTGCATTCGAAATGTTTGATTAAATATAGTTATCAAGATGACAGAACAAAATAAATGATAACACAAATGAAAATTGTTGTTTACTTTGTGAGGTCGTAAGTTTTTTTTAAATTTATTAAGTATGCGAAAATAATGTATTATTGTTTTGAAATACTTAATAATAACAACAATAATAATATGCGCATTTCGTATAACCCGATAGTATATTGAAAAAACCCCAATGACCACGATAAAAAAAAAAAAAAAAACAAATGCACAGGGATAAATCATTTTGATTAAGTGTTTAATAAAACTTGGTGAAATAATAATGTACGGAAAAATACCTTCGGTTGTTATATCCATTTCAAAAAGTTTTAATAAAAAATATAGAACGACACGAAAAATATCATTACCCGGAAATCGTATAACTACTATATTATTATTGTATCCGATGGCATAGTACCGTAAATGAATTTCAATATATTCATTTTTAACGTTTTTAATGTTATTTTTTCTCTGTATTTTTTTTTAAAAATAAATATGAATAATAAATAAATACACCCGTGAGCAGCTCTGCTGCTTTATTATAAACGGATTTTCCCCTAGTAGACTTTATGCTTTAAGCATATTTAATATTTAGTTTCTAACGTCAGTGAGGAATCTATACGATGTGCGCATTCGTTTTTTTTTTTTTTTGGCGATCTACCGGTACTGTGTTCAACAAATTATCTTATTATTTTTTTTTCCTAAGAAAAATTTTATTAGAATAATATTTTTAAAGAATTATTGCAAGAATATTTTATAGAATAAATAAAGGGGAAAAAAAAGTTTAGCCACAGATTCTGACTTACAATAATTAATTCATATTATATCACGAAAATTATCCAATAAGTAATACATCCGTTGTATTTTTTTTTGAAATAAGCACCATCTATACTCAATACCTATCAATCATACCGGATTATCGTCTTGAGAAGACCCAAAGACCCAGTGATTTAAGTAGTCTCGCTTTCAGACTATTCTAACGGAATTCTTTGTGTTTTATCATATCAACAAATATATTCATATTCGCTTTCAAATAAAACGTACAAGCGTATTTTAATGTACAATTATTGTGAAATTTGTTCGAATATATAATATTATGTTCACCCGAAACCGGAAAAAAGTACCCTTCAAAGTTATTTCAGAGCCATAACATCTCTGATCGAAAATTTAATAGAGGATATCATTTCCGAAATAACCTGATATAATATGGATCGATATTTAAAATGCAAAACATGATTTTTTTTTTTTAAATCCCTGTATCAATTATCGTGGTCTAGATTCTGCAGCGTTCTAGTTTGGTAGCACGATTTACAATTTCGTCCAGCGCAGTAACTCTGGATTACTCGATTTATCGCAGATGAATTTTCAGAGAATTCGCAGAGAATTGTCGTTAAAAACCGAATAGGTACTCGCGTTGTTGGCGGCCGAGGTGCATTGGAAACCCAAAACAAATGGTCCCCTTCTTCTCCGCGAGAAACGATGTCGATTTATCTACGCCGGAATTATCAATTTTTGCCGATTCGCGTTGGTCATCAATTTCTGCTGAGGAAACGATGCGAAAAAAATTGTCATATATATAGGTAATACTTGGACACATGCACCTGTCTATTTGTCGGGGCGTGTAGGGATGGACCTAGGACACCCGAGGAAAAGGGTTCAGAAGAGCACGTCGTTTGTTCGTTTTGTCTGGGAGGGGAAGTAGGGACACCGGATTGGCAGGATACCGCGGGAGCGTACGGCCCGGACTTGCAGAAGTCGAACGGGAAAACGCGTAGATAAGTATATAATATAGGAGGTATACAAGTAGTGTATGGTAGAGGTGTGCGCGGAAAATAATTAAATTCCGACAAAAGGGACGGTCCGGTCGGTATGCCGGAAGGGGGTGGGGAGTGGTCATAGAGGAGACGTTGTTGACGTAATTTATCAAACGGTCTTCCAGTCAGACTCGACAGAAAAAAAAAAAAGAGACAAAATATTATATACTCGTAAGTCGGTATTTTGTCGCACACTTATTATGGCCGTCTGTCACGTTCTGCGAAACAAACGACACAACTGATACCATAATAAATTCGACGCCGTTTATCGTGTCCGATCGCCATCTGCAGTCGAAGGATTACGTTACTAGCCCGACGACGGATTCCGAGAGATGGCGGTAGCGTGTTCATCGAAGCCACATTTTCGTCCCTCACCCCCTACCGCCCGTCACACAGCATTACCGTCCCATGTTGCAGGCAATTCACAGCCAAATCCCACAGTCTCGTACAGTTCTTTCAAAATCTAAATTAAATATTATTGACCACATGATTGAACTTAACCTGAAACCTACAATATATTATATACCAGTGGTGACCATCTACGGCCCACTGGCCAAATCTGGCCCACGATCAAATTTTATTTATCGGCTCATCAAAGTATTATTGAATCAAAATCGAAGAAAAAAAATAACTTCAAATTTCAAAAATTAACACTCACATAAAAAAAAAAACATGATAAAACTTTACATTTTTTCTCATTTATAACAAGCGAAACAAAATAAATAATTAAATAAAATCACTGTACTTATATTAGGATGTACCTACAATAAAATATAATATTCTATTAACTTAAAAGCAAACTTTAAAATTTTTAGCCAACCTAGAACTAGTGTCATTTTTTTATGGCCCTCAGTAAAAACAGGTTGGTCACTACTGTTATATTCAATTTTATATAACATTATCTAACACTAATTAATTCCGTATTTAACTAATATCTTTTTCGGTAAGCGAACAATTTTCGGAGTCAACCTAGTAACTACAAGAGAAGGTTAATAGAGTTTCGGTTGCATGACAGTAATTATTATTACTGATTCTCGTGTGACCCTAAAGAAGAATGACGATTCTAATTTTCTGTATGGCGATAAAATGTCGATAGCTCTAAGAGTTTCATTGCAAGCTTGATCTGTGTAGACAACTCTGCGATCCCGGGTTTCGGAACATGGCAATTTTGTGGCCAAAGTAAAAATGACCCGCAGTTGTGAATAATTTTTTTAATGTTTTAGATTCTGAGTGGAGCGAAAAAGCTTATAATTTTATAAAAATGTTTATTGCGCAACTATTCTACTAGAAATCTTCCTCCGATTTTGAAGTAAAGCACATTTTCTAAAAGAAAATCGGTGTGGTAAGGTACTTTAGGGAAGTCATTTTTCGATTTTCCCAAAAGTTTTCCCAGCAAATGTGAAAAACCGGCAAAAAACACGGAAAAACTGGGAAAACGTAGGAAAACCAAAGAAATCGGTACAACATTAAACAAATATTATTAGAGAAAATACACAAAGCCTATTTAATTATAATACTATAAAATGACATATATATTGTTGACAAAGCAACACTATCAACTATACTTCACTCAGAATCGATTTTTCGTAAGCAATGGTTTATCTTTACTTACAGGTATACATTAAATTACCCATAAGGCTATAACAGTGGCTGCTCCCGTCCCCGTTTTCCTAAAGTATTTTTTTTTTTTTTTTTCGGTGTACGCATCGCTCGTATCACACTGATCGTGGTATATTAGAAGCACGGTGGCTCGTGAGCACAATAAAACGAGAGGCCACTTTAGTCGTAAATGACGCGGCCGGCCCGCTTACGTCCTGACGTCGGTTTCGCGTGCTCATAAAATGAGTTTTTATAATATCGTACGCTAGACGACGGTGACGTCCCGTAAATCTCGAAACTCTTATGCTCGCGAGTCCGGAAAAAAAATCACGCCGAAAACAAAAGATTACCGCCAAAAAGTTTTGAAAAACGTGCTCCCGGACATACTTAGATGGGTATTATATAACTTATAATATTTTCTTTGTCCGTCTCACGCCCGTAAGTCGACGAAAAATCGCGCGACGCGTTTTATATCCGATTTATCTTTGTAAAACGGTTTTTGTTTTTGGGGTTTTTGTTTTTTTTTTTACTCGTGCCACTCGTGCGCATCGCTTAAAGGTACTCACGTTTTCGTGTCATTATAAACGTATTATTAGGCGGATTATGTTGGTAAAAAGAAACAAAAAAATTCGAAATCAAAATTAAATTACCGTTCGTAATGCGTAGATTGGACGTATAAAATATGCAAAATGCAGTTTGTATAATAATCTCAAAAAAAAAATCCCTTTTCTCTACCGTTCATAAAAAGACTTTGTTTTGTCTACCTACCTATTTAATTGTTTATTCTTATGTATATTTATACGAAATAATTTCTTCTGTGTATAAAAAGAGGATTTTTTTCTTTTAACTCCAGTAAATAGAAATACATTTAAAATTTAATTGAATAGCGTGTTTTTTTTTTTTTTTTATTAAAAATTGTACAACCAGAGACGACGATAATAAAATATACATTTCTTTTTGTCCACCGTAGGTGAACTACTCACTTTCCACCTATTTGTTTTTATTCATTACTGACACTGTCAAAACCAAAAAGAAATATGGGTAAAGAAAAAAAAATTAAAATTAAAAATTAAAAAAATTAAAATATCTAAATATTGTTCTTATACTATTAAAGTAGATTCTTTGATTATTGTCAATGTAAAAACCATTTTTTGATAAATACAAAGGAAATAATCGTAATAAAATTTGAGAACTACTATAATATTATACTTTTAACCTCGTTTAAAATTGTCCGTAGGCTTATGTTAGGCTAGGTTATATACAGTCAAAATTCTATTTGCCGAACTCGATAGTTTTTGAACAAAAAACTGTTAAAAAGAAATACTCTTTTAGTCGATTACAATAATCTTATATATATATATATATTACGGAGCACTTTGGAATAAAACGGAATGAAATTACGGACAAACATGCCAAATAATCTGCATGACACATAAATACAAACACAACTCCATTATATCTCATTTCTTACAATGATTTTAAAAATTGTATTAATTTACACATAAGACGTAAATGGCATATCTTCTGGAATAAACACAAAAGTGACCCGATAAAAAAAATCTACATTTATACGGGAAAACTCAAATCTTAAACGATACGAGGGAATAATTTTAAATAGATTGAGACTCGGTCACACAAGATTTAGATTTATCCACGGGTTACTCATGGCAAATGTAGAACCGACTTTATGTAAAACTTATAGGACCTGGCGTTCAGTTTAATACATGTTAACAGAATATATGAACAGGATTATTTGAAACTCGACACGACCGAATGTCTTGATGATTTACTGGAACCTGACTGAACGAAACCTCGTAGTTCTGGAATTTTCAAAAATAACTTTTTTAAATGATACAATTTAATTTAAGAGTAAGTATAATGTAACTGAATTAGAATCAAGAAACTAACTGCAAATAATGGCTACATCTTTTGAGTTGTTATCAATTTAAAAGTTGTTAAAAGAAAAAAATAATAATAATAATCTTATGCAATAAAATTTAACGAGATACGCGATACGATAACGATTATTTAGTAACAAAAATGGTTTTCCGTCTCCATTAGTCAATAACGGTAATCTTAGATCGCAAAATTGAATTTAATATTCAATTTGCTCCCTTATACTATATCAATATTTAACTAGCGTGCACTCTATAAGTTGAAACAGTTTAAAATGAACTATAAAATAATAATAAAAAATTAATTTGGGTACATAGCAACGTTCATGAAAAATTGCATAGTTCCGTACAAAAGTTCATTATGTCGCTTAGTTTTGTTACATGGAAGTTCGTTAAATAGAGGTTCGACCGTAAATTTGTGCGTGACAAAATGCAAATCACTAGCGCTATCACTATTGCATGTAAGAATCGCCGTGTGAAGTATTTCAAATAAATTGTCGTATTTATTATTATTGAATACTACTGCTAGTGCCATAGGCGTAATCTGGGGTAAAATCATGAGGGATGTAGGCTTTGATTAAACTAAAAATCTATAAAGGTATTAGAATTCCCTCTCCCCCTCAGATGTAGATATTACACCCATAATCATTTAAAAATCATTGTTATAGTTAATAGCCAGTTATTCTCGTGATTAAAACAAGGCCGACACTAAAAAAAAATCTTAATATATAAAACGCAGTCATAAATTTATAAATAAAAATATATAATATACAATACAAATACGTTTTAATAGGGCCGATTTTCGTGTGTAATATGAAATTCAAACCCGAAATTATAAAGCGCCGAAAAATGTCCTAATAATACTAATCGAATATACCCAATAACACCTAGTTACTTCTAAACTAGTTAATGGTTATACTGTAAACCACGATACACTAACAGTTTATGGTATTGGTAATCTTTAAACACCATACCATTACGGTAGCACAGTAGGGCCTTTTTAGTGCCATAAAAAACGATTTCTAACGACTGTTCAATACTATTGGCGGAGCCCGGTTTAAGACACGTGTTTCACAATCCAAATGTTTCTTGGAATGGTTCTTCCCGGACTTCGTTTTATTAGTCTTTGCGAGATCGATATTGATACAGCCGTTCTCGAAAACGGAGGTCGGCTTTCAAAACTAATTAAACTTTAAAATTTACATCTATATCTTATGCTTATAGTATTATAGAGCAGTAGAGTTTGTTTATTTGAACGCGTTAATTTCAGGAACCACTGGTCCGGGTTGAAAAATGATTTTTGTGTTGGATAGTCAATTTATCGGAGAAGGCTACAATATTATTTTAATTTTAAAATTACACTCCTAAAGGATTGACACCGGTTTATTGGTATTTTATGTACGAACATTGTTGATTGGTTATCTTGGAATAAAATTTAAAAAAAAGAAAATACATGAAATATGCATCATATTGTGGTAAAACAATTACAACAATGTGCGTTCCCATGACAACAATGATTGTTTAAAAAAAGATTTAAATAATTTAAAATTTAATAACAACACAAAATAAATGAAAAACGGTTGCCAACGGTTGACTATTTTGTTTTTAATATTTCAATCTTTTCCAACTTAACGAACCATATATATTATATTTAAATTTTGTTCGTTGCGTGACTTAAGTAAACGCAATAGAATACTTTTGATCCCCCGAATGTGGATTACCAACATTGCGCCTATTTTTTTTCATTCAATTCTGACACGGTCAAAACCAAGTATGAATATGGGTGAAAAAAAAAATAAAAATAATAAAATTGGAACGGACAACGCCAGTTGTGAGACGGCTAAAGCAACAAACAATACAAACTATTGAAAACAACAAAAACTGTAAAAACAATAAAATCAATAAATTCTACTAATACTGTTATCACTATTATTTATAATGTTATCTAGCGATTGCGAAACATTGCCGGATCAGCTAATTACGTATATCGAATAGCCTTAATAGGTATACAAAATAACATATCCCAACTGACTGATCGGTCATCGTCAGACACAAACCACCGGATAGATCGGACTGAAATGTTGGCATACGTGACGCGTAAGCATCCGCTAAGAAAGGGTTTTTGAAAATTCAGCCACCGAGGGAGTGAAATAGAGGTTTTTGGATATTTTTGGTACGAAAATGGAATTTGTATTGATCCGTTTTTGTTTTATCGTCAGTTACCTCGGGTATGCGGATGGAATAGCAAAAATATTGGCCCGGGCCACGCCAGACGGGACAGCTAGCGGGACGGAAGGGTTTTCGGTATTTTTGGAACGTCGATTAAATTTTACTTGTTGGTTTACAGGTTGACTCGGTGACACGGATGCCAATTTAGTTAATACGGACGAGAAAACCGTTATAACTATTGTTTACGCTGTTATCTAGCAATAGCGCAGCTTTGTCGGATCAGCTAGTATACGTATATGTGTTTACACAGAACTGTGTATTATTCGCCGGAGGAATGGTTTTTTTTTTTTTTTTTTATGTTCGAGGTCACACACGATATTACTCGAAGTCACGTTAATATATTTACTATTGTTGGCTGAATATGCTATTTTAACACTTCAAAACGGGATAAAAGTACTATCGTATTGCCAATACAGACAATGTACAACTACGCGATCGCCCATTCGAAACCGTACAAAACAACAATCTGTTGTCGAATATCCGAATCGTAAATAGTGTAAATTTATTTATCACATTGGATTATGAGCGTACCTACGGCCGTCGCGATTGAGTAATAAAGTAAAATAATATTATTAGCGGACTGCCGTCGGGCAAACGGACGTTTTGAAAAGAATTAATTAAACGTAACGTACGGCCGCTCCGCGGTTTATCGCTTTAAATGTATTCAAATGATTTTAATACATATGTATATATATATATATCCGGACATTGTCGGCGCCCGTAGATACACAATGACGTATCCGTAACCTTATTTTGGATTCTGAGCAAGGCGGAGATCTATCGGTTTTGGTATAGTGTGTTTTTTTTTTTTTTTTTTTATCAGTGAGCAACATTTTTACCGAACATCTCGCTCTAACCACAAATGACGAAATCGACCTTTTTTTATTGCATTTTGAAAAAATATTCGTAGAGATTTGCAATTCTGGACTGGGATAAAATCGTTTGACCAAATAGAAATTCTTGAAAATTCAACACTAGGCCCATTATTTTTACTTGGTAGAAAACGGAAAAGTTCGGCAAAGTTATTTTGTAATCTAGAGTTTTATGATATCGAATTTCAAAAATCCGCGTTCAGCAGTAGTCGATAAGACCTGATGGCAAAATTCAAAAATACAAACAGTCCCAAAACCCCTGATCCCAGTGCAATGGGCTTCGAACACGGGCTAAATATTTTTATATCCATTGTCAGGTGATATTTTTGATGTTTACTCATTTTTACCAGTCCTAAAATTTCCGCTCCTGATCGTCTTCGTTTATTTGTTGTTTTATGCCACGATTCAGACAGCTGCGTTTTGTTGTAATTGCGAATGTATATAATTTATAAAGAGGGTATGAAAGTTAACCGGAAGTAATGCGTGTGCAATGGGCGAGGGTACTGTTAAAAAGCCTCTCGTTTAAAATACTTGGGTCCCGCTTTTGTTTGGACGAGCGTCCCGGAAAGGGTTTAAACGGTATGTAATTACGGGATTTATACACACCCGAGACGCGACGGTCTCGCCGAGGATCGAATACCGGAAATTCTCCATGATTTTTATTTTATTAATAGAAATAGTTTGCGAAACTTTTCAAAAAAAACATAAAATTATAACGTTGCTGCGTTAACTGTGCTAATTACGCGACTTTCCTATAATTGTAAAAAAATTCTCGATTTGAATTCATCACTGCAAAATCACAATTTTTTTTTTTAGAGAAACGATCAATTATTTCAGAAAATAAACTCACTGAAGTCTATTTCCGTTGCATTTTAATATTATGTCACCGTTCTGGCGACGACGCGGTGCGCGATCTAGTTGTCTATTTGGGCGGTTCCAAAGCACTCCGCGTATCGGTCTATTAACAACTTACATCGTGATGTGCTTGAAACGTTCGTCGGAAGGTGGCGACAGAGTTTTCATCTCTTTTTTTTTTTTTGTATTGCTCGTTTCTACCACGTACGTGTAATCTTCTCGGAGTAATGTCGAAAAAAACAAATATTTATACGACCAGAGGAATTCAAGGCATTTGTATATTTATTGTTTTTGATCTATGAACCGTTTAATCGAAAGAGTGTTTTCTTATTGGGAAAATGTTTTTTTTTTTGATCTCGACCCCTTTAAAATAAAAAAAACAACCATCGCTATTTCCCGATATTAGAAAAACCTCCAGCGGCTGTCGTGCGTATATAAAATAATAAAATAATATTGTATAAATAGGTTGGTTGATGGGAGTACACAATGATTTTAAAACGCAAACGGATTATTTTTATGCTGGGTGGAAAAAAAATCACCCTTAAACATAAAAGTGGAAAAACAAAAATAACGCGAGATTTTAGAATAAATTACTCCAAATAGTTTTTACATAAGTCATTTTTTTTTTTCATAAGTATATAATATTTTATAGGAAAATTGACAATTTGGCAATTTGGAAAAGTAATCTAAAAAGTAAGTTAAGTTGTATATGAAAACAATTATTTATTAAATAAAACTCTGAAAAAAATAATTTTTAAGAAATTTAGATTAAACTGAATGTTTTAAAATACCGCGATATTTAGGTTATTTTTTTAATTTTATAGAAGGTTATTACAAAATTTATTACATTTTGTATCAAGTCCAGAAAGTGAAATATGAGTATTTTGTCAAAATTGCAGGTCTCTAAGACTTTTTTTAACTGAATTAGGAAAAAATAATAAAATAGAAACAGCGCCATTGAGTAAATTTGTCCGGGTTATTTTCATGGTATTAGTTATAAGAAAATTAAATAGGAAATAGGAAATCAAAATATAGCCCCTCTTCTCTTAATGTATTGACTAGACAAAACTTAATACAAATTCTCTAGTCCAGCTATCAAAAATGGCGTTCGGAGCTTTCTAGTAGAAAAAAATAAATATTTTCGAGATTATTTACTAGTTGTTTACAGACTGCAAAAACACACAATATAGTTAAACCAATTCATTCACCCATCACATCCCTCAGAATATAAAATATAGTGTGTCAAATTAATTTTATGTTAGAATTTGTCGATAGATTGTGATATTTAATATGAAAGCAATGTTGCAAAATCTATTTGGTAGTATGCGAATTATCGAATATTTCCAAATCTTACCTATTAATCGTAATGTTAGAGACTGTTTGTAGACTTCTCTCAAAAATTAGAAACTATTGCTGTGTTTTGTGTGTGTCTAAAATATATCAGACGTTTATATATGTTTTTTACGTTACTTTTGAACACTTTTAGCGGCTTCCTTTGGACGAAATTAGTTCAAACTCGGGTTTTGATTTGTTTAGATAGTATATAGTTATAGATTTGTTTTGTATGTGCATTAAAGTGAAACATATATTCGGTTGAATTTCAATATGAAATTCATCATGTTGTTATTGCGAGAGGATGTTTTTATTGCTTGGTTATATCTACAGATTCTTTAAACATGGATAGGTTTATCAAGAAAGTGCCTTATGGTTGTTTCGACTTTCGACCCATTCCCAACTATTTATATGCTCAAATTTCACAAAAAATACCGGTGTTTAATTATAATGGAGACAAACTCGGCTTGTGCGACGGAGCTATAAGGCTCAGGGATGTTTTTTCATCACTCTGTATAATAATATGTTTTATTATTATACATATACGTACTTATATTGTGAACACCATATAACATTATGCGCTTCGGAAATTTAAAACTCGTGCACGACGATACTATCTGACGCCACGATCTCTGCAACGCGGAGAAAACGTCGGAAAGTTTTTTCGATAAAAAAATAAAATCAGCGAATATTATGCGTATGGTGAAAATCGGGATGGGTAAGGGGAGCTGGGGCTGGCGTGGGCGATACACGTAAAGAGTAAAGAGCGACGATAGCGCGAGGACGGTGGGCGGAGGACGGAAAAAGATAAAGCCGAACGCACGTGACTGCCGTACCGAAACTCCGCGGTCTTGAAAGACGGTGTTTCTATAAAATAATTTTATAATATTGTTGCTGCTTTTGTAGCTCGCAGTGTCCTCTAAAAACAGTGTAACATGTAATATCCAACGTCGTATACCTACCACGAAAACTACGAGAATAACGCGAAATTACCGCTATACTGTTTTGAAATGCATTATTAATTAAAAACTAATATTATAAGTAGTCTGTTTACATGAAAACGTCCGCATAGCTATTGTTTCGTTTGGGGAGTAGAATATTTCTAACTAATTAACTAACCAACTCGATTGAGCTATACTAAGTTAATTAAACAACCAAGCTCACAGTTAAAGTTAATAAAAAATAAATTTAACTATTTAAGTTCATTATTTTTTTTAAATCAACATTGAAAAGACGGACGTACTTCATAGCCACTGTTGTAGGTGGGAAGTTGAGAGGGAAGGATACAAACAGGAATTTAATGGATTTCTGTAAGCGACGATGAACCATTGCTTAAGAAAAAACGATTCAGAGCGGAGTTCAGTTGATAGTGTTGCTTTCGTCAACAATATATAGTGTGTCATATTATGGCAAAATGATTACCTACAACAATGTGCATTTTCATGACAAAAATGTTTGTTTAAAAAAAGATTAAAATAATAAAAACTTAAAAGCAACAAAAATTAAATAAAAACGGTTGCCAATAACAACCTTATGTTTAATCTTTCAGCTTTCTTTAACCTAAAGAACCAGACTTTCCTCATTACCTCGAATATTAATGAGAATTTCAAAAAATGACCTTTTTAAAGTACCACCCAGCAAACATTTTCTTGCCAAAAAGGTGCTACACTTGATAACTGGAGTAAGCTTTCTGGTAGAAAAATTGTTCACATAAAAAAACAAAAAAAAAAAAAACATCATTGTGAAACCAATATATTTCTCGCTTAGCGAAGAATCTAAAATATTCAATATTAACTGATGTATCAAACATCTATTACAGTAAATAGTGATCATAGGTTATAAATAATGGATAGGCCTTTGCGTTATGCAAGCACTATTCGGAATTTTGAATAAAGAAATACTACTATTTCAAAAGATAGTGTCTTTCCAGTTGAGGGTATTTCGAGGTTATATTCAAGCTAACATTGTTTGTTATTGTTAAAACATATTATAGCTAGTTTTCAAAAATGTCAATAAAATGTATAATTAGTTTGTTTTGATAATGATTCGGACATGTACAGTTTGCCATAAGTATTTCAAACTTCAATACAGATGAGTATTTTTACTTGTAAGTACGTCATAACAGCATTGTTTATCTTTTTTTACACTAAAATTATTTTATTTTTTTACCTTTTAAGTTTAAATTTCAGAAGAAGAGTGAAAAAACAACACAAGACATAATAATATTTTCTCAATAATGTATTTTGTAATGAAAATAAACAAAGCAAATTATAAATTAGTTTTTATGCCTATACACGACATGAACTAAGTCTTAAATCTTAGTTTGAACTTAACCTCAAGATACCCTAAGTAAGAGAGAGAAAACAATCAGGAATATTCAAACAGTCTGAAACACTGGTGTACGTTAATAATGTGCTGTTTAAAACAAAACGCAAATATTTACAACGGGCTTATCATTATTCATAGTATTTATACGTGAACTTCTTTAAATCGATATCAATGAATAATTGATTCATTGCGTTATCGTAATATTACAATAATTTGAACGATGCGCCGAGGTTTTTTTGTAATTTTTCCTTTGAACATAGAAGAATAATAATAATTGGCTTACAACACAGAAATCCCATAGAGCAGGTAGCTTTTTTCATTTATCCCGGCACCTAGCCGTACACATAAGCGAAATACTTCGAACGCACGCAGATTTAATTTATATAGAAAGGGAGCAACGCGGGAAACTATTAAGTGAATATTTACCAACAAAAGCCGCGTTCAGTAACCCCGGTGGCGGGTGGATTACATAAAAAATAAAAATCAAAGGATTCCTTTTAAATTATAATACGCGCGTTACCAACATACATGTATATATTATGTACATGCACATTATACGTGTACAGAGTGATCGTTTTATCGTCGGCCAAAGAATATATTATTTAAAGTTCAATTGCGATTACGTATAGTCTCGTAGGTACGTTTAAAATGGAAATTATTTGTATATGTATAAGAGTTGGGCGAATTTCGGTTTTTGAAATCTAGTCGAGTCACGTCTTCATTTGTTCGAGTCGATTTAAGTTCAAAATTCTATTAAAGTAAAAAAAAAAAATTGTCGAGTCGACTACTCGAAAAACTAAATTAAACATAAATATCGTTATAGTAATATTATAATAGGTATTATAATAAAAATTTAATTTAGTGAATTTTAGGTTTGAAGAGATTTATACCTAGTTAATACATTTTTTTTAAATAAAACAATCGAATTAACGATTACCAAAAAAATTGTTATCGAGTCAAGTCCAGTACTCAACACATTCTAATAATTATTGACATTTAAATAATCTGCAGCTCTACGATAAACAATACTCGAAAAGGTCGATTATACGACAATTTATAAATGATCTACGTATGATGTACAAAATATTTTTTTATTTTTATTTGAGGTTTGTAGATGAGGATATAGGAACAGCTTACCGATTTGTCATTATTACTCTGCTTACATTACAATGCTCGCGAAGAAGAAGTAGGATTCTTTCCATATTCGCGATCGATTTTTGATACGTTCCGCGCAGTCCGATCAACTTGAAATTTCGAGTACACACATATTATTTTTGAAAATCGAGAATCAGATTTTCCATTTTCACTTCACTTTATCTATTTTCATCAGTCCATATATAACTTGTGAGGAAAATGTCGGAAAATCGAAAAAGGCCTCTTAGAACTGTTGTTCGTGTATTATCTCCCATCATAAATAATCCATGGTTAATCTGTCTATTGACCAAAAGGTATAAATCATTTGTTCACTATTGTACATAATTATGTGATCGAAAGTTATAAAATTTTCAAAATAAATTTCTAAAAGAACCGTTCATATATTATAAAAAGATCTAAAATGCAAATAACAATGGAAATTTTGAATAAACACGGCAACAACGAACATAGGAACATCCAATTCGTAATAGTACGTTGCGCTTTTTACGTGGGTGTTTGGTGAAGCCCCAATACAAATGCGTGCGTCTACTGATACGTATAAAAGAGCGTCCGGTATGGCCAAAATGTACCTACGTTCCTGTTGTTTTCATTTACACTTTCTTTAATAGTATTTACTTTTGAAATAGATGGTTTTTAAATTGAATTTTATTATTTTTTTTTTTTGGTTTTTAGATGAAAAAAAAAGAATTACGTTTCGATGCGCAATAACCGGGGATACGTTGAAACGTTACATAAAAACAAGAGTCCTGTAACAGAGGAAATCGTGGTTATCGTTTGAAAAAAATTAAACGAATCATTGTTTGAACGTACAAAATAAAAAGTAGTTTAGCGGCCGAAAAATCGGTATTATGTTATTAGTTAAAAAAAAAAAAAACAAAACAAAACAAAACTGCGTACTTATAGTTTTGGTTTCTCGATTTTTCGATCGCCCTGTATAATACACACATTATGTAATAATATATACTGACGCGTGTTCGTGACTCGCGGTGCCGAGATCGCATCCAATAAGGTACAGACGCGCCGTAGGATCTAATACGCGGTCGCCATGACGACGTTGTGTACGCCACTTTCTGTGTACGATAATAACACGGTAACGCCAAACAAAAGTGTATTGTCGAAAATGATTTGTCACGGTTTTGGTGTATTATATTTAGAAAAAAAAAACCACAGAGGACGCCATCTGAGACGTCATCGTCGTAGGTAGGTACCTAAATACACGCCGAGCTGCAGTGGCGTGCCCCGGGTGAAGGATAGGGGTTATGTTCTTTCCGCGGTCGCATTTTATACTTCGGGTTACAAAAATGGAAGCGTTCAATTTATTGAATAAAAATCGGATTACGATTGCTTAGGTCCGGTTTTCAAACCGCCGTTAGGCATACAGAAGACGACCCCGTACCTGCACGCGATTGTATTATTATTTACCGCGTCTCGTCCCGTTGAAAACGTCCGGCCGTGCCGCGCTTAAAATGATTATACACAATGCCTTTATCACGCCTTTAGTATGCATTCATTTGTACAAGTTAGTGTAAATGACATTTCAATCGTTAATTGTTCAATGATTATTATAGTTTTAACTTTGACGAAAACCGGACACACACGCACATGATCGTAGCGCAAACACCAACTGATGGACGGATATCTGGGATGTATACGATTGAAACTATTTCGCTCAAATTTCAAACGCGCCTCAATTATAAACAAAACGACCGGATCAGCCAGTCAATAAGCTATATATAGAAATATGAACCTTTAGTTATCAAAAACCCCGTTCCCGTAATAATCGATCTTAAACGAGGGGATCATAATTTTTCACGATAAAATACGGTGCAATAAAACTGAAATTTAACCGAATTCGATCGCTGTTGTTTTTGAAGTACAAAAACACTATACATATCAAAACTGACTATAATGAGCGTTAAAAATTAAACAGAAACTTATAGTGCGACTGGTAAATTATTTTGTCAGGTAATGCAATCTATTTTTGAGCTTTTATCCCACAACTGAGGTACAAAAGTGAAAATTAGTTTTGCACTTTTGGACTGTCGATAAAAATATACGATTTGAACATCTGAGTTTCATCGGGTAAATTATACCGAACACAGTTCTTTGCCGTAAACCAAATTGTCGGGAGACGATTTAAAACTCTCTTAATATTATTAGGAGTCTGAAAATTGCATTTTTTACCATACAGTTTTTATTGTTTCAAAAGCCAGAACATTTTTTTTACTAAAAAAAACAAAATAAAACCACGATCGTTAATAATTATTTATATTTCGTGCATACTATCGTATTAAAATAATATTGACCAGAATTCATAAATTATATGTTTATTTTAATTCTAATAAGAAATTTACCCGGTTTACCGTATTTTACCGTTAAATTAACCGAACGTTTTTTTACCGAAAGTGCCACATCTTTAATCGTCGTAATAAAACTCTATACGTTTACATTGTGCAATAAAATACGACGATAATTGACGTATTTTATTCATTTATATTATATTATTAATAGTAATCAGCGTACTGCATGAATATTTGCATTCGGGTGACAGTTCTTCGTCCGCGGCTGCCGCGGCGAACTTGCACAGTATCGCTCCGATGATGAATAACCACCTGCAACAAAAAAAAAACGCAAACAAATAATTACATCGATGTCCATTTTAACGACTTGTCCGTTGATGTTGCGGTTTTTTCCGCGGTCGAACAGAAATCATCAACAATATACCTATAAACAGTGTACCTGTATGTAAAACTATAAACAAAAGTTTTGAAATCCGAAATAATTATTGTGAAAATTAAATATGATTTTTGTTAATCGAATTTCGATAGCGTCAGAAATCGATGTATATTTTGAGATTTTACAAAATATTACCCAATGTGTTCCGATTTTTTTTTTTAATTTTTTATCTGTTTTTATTCAGTCCTTAGAGGCCATTGCCGCTTCTAACCAAACCTAACCCAACACGCCCCTCCACGTATCCCTATCGACCCTATCCAAGGCACGAGCATTTCCCTACTCCAAAAAAATACAATTTTATCTTACGCCTTGTTACATGTTCGCACCGCACTCTATAACCGATATGTTACAATCATTACGATCATATTACAATTTTATTACTATTTTGACGACACAAACTGTTTGTCAGCGTGCACATAATTATTATAAACTATTTACTACTTTTCCCATTTAAAACAAAAATGGTGCAAATTTATTGTTATATAATATGCGTAGGTGCCTTTTTTCAGTGGGAATTTCAAAATAATTTTTAACTTTACATTCGTATATAATCTGTTTTATATAACTTCTTGGGTTTTTTTTTCTGGAAAAAAACATTGCGTCAGAGTCGAGGCATTTGACCTAATATACTTTTATAGTATTATAATTAGAAACAAAGGTAATATACATACGCACAGTTTTACATGTTGTGTTTTAACGCTAATACAATGCAAATTTGAAAAGTTCTCCATGGGGAGACGAATAACGTAATAAACAGAAAACCAACGAAAACAGTTTTAATTCAATAAAAACATTCGTTCTATGTGTGGGCGGCATAAAATTACAAGAATATACAGTGTGTCGGCTAGTCGGACACTCGTCTCGCTGCAAAACATTCAAACGAATTATTTACGATATTTACGCGTCTTGTGAATAATTTACGCGCGATAAAACAATAATGACCGAAAACGATTTCGTCTATTGCCTATACGCGTCACTGTATTAATCGATATTTATCGTTTTTGTTTTCTTTTGATTCAGGAGTCCGTGAAGATACCTATTTTTTTTTTTAACGACCGTAGATAGGCGAGTACTTAAAAAAAAAAATAATCCAAACACTCATAAAATGTATACGGTAATAAAAAATCAATTTCGAAACTTCCGCGGTACTTTAATAATATTATCTTTAATTTATGGCAAATTAATGTATCGGTTTTACACAAGCGTGTATTATTGAATTTTATGTTATTCACTTTGCACGATGTTCTCGCGACGGTGTTGGTCGTTTATTTTTTGCAGAACCACTTGAATGAACGCGTTACACGAATACGTTATGCGGGTATTAATACATTTCCAGCCGATCGTAATATTAGGCACATAATATAAGACTTGTTTATGGGTACGTATGTGTTTTTGGTTTATTATAAAATAATAAAACGGTCAAAAGCCAAGTGAAGATTTGAAGATTACAACATTTCCCAGGGTAAACAATAAACGGCATTTTAGATTTTGATCCTATAACGAGGAATGTATTGATTTCACTAATTCACTATGATGTGCGTAATTTTTTTTTTACTTTTTTGAATAAGTTTCTTGATCCAAATCGGAATACGGAAATTTTGATCCGACAGTCAACTTCGGGGGTGATTTCCGGTAGAAAATATCATCTTATTTTGGTGTATCGGAGAGGTGATTTTTTTTGTCTTGTAATTCTTTTAAAAACCGGGAAAAAACGTCGGTTTATTTACGTCGGAGTATTTACGTAAAAAACGGTTTCTGTTATTTTCGATTTTGTTTTTATGCTGTAATTTAGTTTAACAATTAACAATGTTTGGGCTTTTCTTTATAGTCGTTTGATATCTTTGTATTTGTATTAGTTTTTATTAGGTTTTATTTTAATACAATTTTTTAGCACAGCATTTACACTCAAAAACTGGATGGAGTTAAGTTTTAGCATAAGGTTAAGCAATGCCAAACAAATATTTCACTATATTATTACTTAGTTCTAGAAGTTTTTTTTTTTTTATCAAATTTAAAATCATTACTATGACAAGTAATCTAATTTTATTTTTGCCAAACCTAATACCGTATTTTTTTTATTTTATTTTTTCAATCAAACGAATATAACTAAAATATAATTGTTTTTAAAAACTAGAAATTTGAATTAAAACATTTCTTATAATCTAATTTTAAAAAAAATACAAAACATGTTGTACGGGTAAAAAAAAAACACAAATTTAACTATACTCACGAGTTTTTATGCAATATTCACGGGTTATAAATAAATATTATTCGTTTTTTAATAATTTCGAATACAGAATCACACCTCTGCGATTTGATACACCCACGCCGGCGGCCTCCTTTGACGAGCAAAATAACGTTCAGTTTTATATTTGACATTGTACTCAATTAATATTTTAAATTACAAACGCTCATTTCATACATCCCTGTAGTGTTATACACGTATCAATTACTATGTTTTATTAAATTTATAATAGCATATATCTTTAAAAAAAATCTAATTTTACATACGTCCTGTGAAAAATATATTGAATCGTTTTTTCAATTATTTTTTTGCCGACGCGTGTTTTATCAAATCGTCCGATATGAATACTAAATCAAAACTAGTTTCTATAGTGCTCGATTAATCATATTTTAATAATGATGTTTTCTCTATTTACACAGTTACACGAGAATCCGTTTCAAGCGCACATTCAAAACCATCGTGACAGACCTATTATGTGTTATTATCGAACGGTACCTGTACATTTCTAATTAATTAAATTTCAACGACGCTGGAGAAAATAATTCGAACAGTCCCGTCATTCTGCGATCGAATTTCATAAGCATATTTTCCATTAACACTTTCAGTAAAATTACACTCTGAACAATCTGAAATAATATCAACGCAAAGCGTTATAAATTTAACAAACTAAGCTACTCGTATAACTGCAAAACATATTAGTATATCATACTTTTAGATTTATATTTCTAGAACGAATATTCAGCATGGAATTGTGTTCCGGTTTATATCGATAACCGTAAATTGTTGCAAGAACGAACTAATAATAATAAATAATTATATCGGTCATGAAGACGATAAATTCTAGTTCAGTTCTGATGTTATTGATATTTATAATTCATAACACAAATACAGAATAATATAACTCGATAAAAAAAACAAAGTGGTTTAATTGGCCGTTCTCTAAAGTTGTTTTCTCTCACACCTCAGTCTATAATATATCTGTCTATCTCTCTTGATCCATTCGGACCGACCACGCCTGCCAGTCCTCCGAATAAATGATCCGTCTAGATGTATAAGAGTCTGTGATTAAAAACCCAAACATTAGGGATTTACATTTTTACCGCGTTTTATTGATTACAAAATTTAGTAACGCCTCTATTTTAGTTAGAAAGTTTGAAATGTGTGTGTCCTATACCATCTATACATCATAATGCAGCAAACACTGTATCCAATACAGGGTAAATTATTTATATAGTCAAAGCAACAAGTAACTATTGAATCTATTAAATTCATAGAACGATTCTGAGTGGATAAATAAATCGACGTACTTATCGTCTTTTTTTGTTAATCGAGAAAAACGTGTCAAGTAAATTACCACCTTATACCACGAGTATAAGGTATACAATGTGCACAATTTGGAGCTTTAAAAAAAAATGATCTTACGGGATGTTAACTGTTGAGAATTTCAAAAAATGTTTCGTGTATAAAACCACCGCACTGTTCCACGCTGAGTTGGAATTCCACAATTTTTCGCGCTTGAACAAATCAGTTTTTTTTTACTGAACAAAGAAGTGTTTTTCGAAAAAAAAAAATCGTTATAAATCAAACGGTACATTAAGAGTTCTAATATAAACTAAACGATTAGGATAATGGTGATGATATATTATTATGTCGGTTTGAGCTTGGTGGTAAATTATTTATCATTTTATATTTAGTCTTAAGGTTTCGTTTAGGCGCACGTCTATATATTATTTTAATATAGAACTCACTCGTTCGATTTGAATTGTGTACACAAGTACACTACGCATTCAGATTTAAATTTATTAGGAGCACTTAAAATTAAAATACTTATCAAATAGTATACAAATATAATGTGAGATTTATTGTCTATGTGGTCATAATATGTAAACTAATTATTTATTTTGAAACTATACGCATGGGAATTTTAACGCGTCGTGTATCTGCACGTGATATGTTATACGAAAAACTCGTTGTTAATGTCTATGGTTCTTGTTTCTTGATTGTTCGGTCGGCATGTATAACGTTTTTAGAAACCATATTGTCTTTTTACCGTATATACGCGGTATATCCAACGAAATTCAAACACAAAAACTAATTTTGTGTTCACCGAGATTAAAAGAACGATTCCGGATTTATTTGAATGGTATTTTAATTCAATCAGATGCAAATTAAAAATTATACACTTTTTTTGGTTATGCTAATATTAATTTAAGATTGAGTGATACGATCGATTATATTACCTGATCAAGAAAAGAAAAATTTAATAAAATAACAATTAGATACAACTACCTTAATTAATATGACCGATCGTATAATATTGTACGGATGATCTGAAACTTTTTGGCCGTTGAGAAAAACGGGGAATAATAAACTTCTGATATCATCCCGAAAGAAAAATATTTTAGAAGTTGAACCATTAAAGGATACAACAACCGGAGAATGGAAACGAAATAAAAACAGAGACCTAGAGATCATCAATAAAGGAAAACTACTATGGACTGAACATGTACGGAGAAGCAAATACTACTACAGGTAGTGCTGGAACCGAATCCAATAGGGATAAGACCTTTGGTAACCTCGAGAATGAGGACGCAGTAAAAAAGGATGCGGATGATTTAAGAAGTGTACCGAATTGGAAGGTTTTGACGGTGGATAGCTGAGAAGAATTGGTTGTGGAACGCGATGAGAGGAAAGGCTCAATAAACCCAAATAGTAATGATATTACTATTACAAACGAATCAGAATAGAACTACTGAATAATATATTACGTTTACAAATTATTATCGAATTCAATTAAATTCCCGAGAACGCATTTATCAAAGATTTGATTATTGTTATAATATAATATTACATAAACTGTCGGTGTAGTATTTCGGTAGTTATCCTTTGATAAATCCGAGCAATTTCGGATATACACCAGAGGAACAATCAATGACGGTGGTGGGTCTGAACGTGACATTTACATCCAAAAACGATCGGGAAATAAACTTTTAACAAAAACAAACAATATGCGCGCAACAAAGGCCGACCCCCGGTCGCAGTTAAATTTAAACAACATCGCATGTTTGGAATCCATAATATTATACTATTATTCACCGCAATATAATATATTATAGTAGACATATAAAACGAATTCGTTTAAAATGTTTTACTGCACTCCGATATTATGTTTTTTACCACATCAGCAACATTTAGTAGGTATAATAATTTATGACGGAATACGAGTCACAATAAAGTCTGTCATTGCCATGTCTGTCTTCACACCATGGGTAAGCCACTATTGTAGGTGGAATGTTTGAAACTTACAGGAAGTAGACGTAATAAAGTTGTAGACGTGAGGTTAGTGAAAAAAAGAAAACCCATAATATTGTACGAATAAACTACACTTGTTCAGCACTATTCCGCTGTTGAAATAAATGACTAACAATTATTATAAAAACGGATTGATTGCAGCGTAAAATGCGGTTAAAGTAAATTAAAATCATAGCATGCGAAATTACTCGCATTTATCGAATTTATAGATAAACATTATTTTTAGTAGGTAACCGACGACGATTGAAGATTGTTATTCGTTAAATAATAATTTGCATACGTTGTCATCAAATGCAAGTAGATAATAAAATTATATTAGGTAATATTGAATATATTGTATAGAATTTTTTTTTTTTTTTTTTTAACGCCAGATGCAAAACATGTATCTACACGGAAAACGTATAGTTATTTCGTAAAAACAATTTCAAAACATATCGGATCATATATTAATTAGTAAAACGAAATAAAAATATTCGTATTATATGGCTAAAACAATAAATTAATAAGGATAGTAAATCTAGGTAAGTATATATTCATACTATGTCATAACCCATAGGCGTTTCTAGACCTTCATAGCTGAGGGGAGGGGGGTAAATTAAAATGTATAATTTTATAAATTCTCCTATTTTATAGACTATAATACGTTATTATTGATATATTCATCTTAATTTAATTTTCTTTTTAAGTAATTATTATCCGAAAAACGTATTCTAAATTTAAAAATTAATACAATTACCTATTTATATAAATTAGTCACATGTAATCTTGTTAGATATAAATAACTGAATTCAACAAAAATACGTTGATTAGATACTTAATAATGTTTACGACTAATTTTAATTAAATACGTATTATGCAATTTATCTGCTGCAAATTTTAAATCAGTCAACAATTCCGTCCACCGTAGGGTCTTGGAATTCTAAACAATTTTGATGACACCATTAATATTGATATTATAAGCTGATTCCCGTTCAATAAATATTTCCAATTGGTTGTCGAAATGGTCTTGTTTAATAATATGCTTCGAAGTCATCACGGCTGCAGCGAGTAACTGGAATGGGAACAAAATGTTTTATATTTATATGTATTAACTTGATGTACATTTTTAAACACTGTATCTCTTTGATTTTTAGTCAACCATTATATTCGATCAAGAAATTAAAGAAATATCAGATTTCAACTTTTTTATGATTTAAATGAGAGATCCGAGTTAAATTCAAAAAATCTTCTAAATGACCATTACTCTTTATTATTTGAATTTTTATTATCTCTTGATTGAAACTAACAATTTAACTTCTATATACCATTAATCGTTTTATCCAAAATTTTACTTTACGACGTGCGATTTGTTCTTGTTAATTTAAATCCTATTTAACTCATTAACTTTTATCCTTTTTTCGGGGTTTTATACCTGCCTGGTAGACATTACGATTATTATAATAAATTTTACCGGGTCCTCGTACAATACATATACTACGGATAACTCACATGCTAAGTACCCATTTCTTGTGCGTCCGATTCGAGTGCGTGTGGGAGGTACTTACTATAATTATTATAATACGTGCCGATACATAGCTTCACGTATATACATTTCAAACACCGCACTCGGTACAATATTATTAAATTACACGAATATATCGCCCGAATAATACGCGTGTATAATGACAGAAACAATGTCGAACAAAGAAACCCGTGCGGTACAAGACGAAATGTCGCGTTAAAAAAAAAAAATATATATATATATATATATTTATATACCTATATAAATCACAATGGCCGGATACAATAAAATAATAAACATCGACATCATATTGTTCGGTGT